AAAAATCATTGGCAAAATTAAAATTTTACAGACTGAACAACAGATCATTAGACGGAGACTGAGTGATATCAGGGATTCCGTGTATTTTGTAACCCATGGTTCTCTTTATGTTTATTACCATTACGTTGTTTGTTATTTTATATTTAAAAATAGGTAACATTTCTGTACCTTGGCACATAAGAGGATAAACGGTGACGGTGGGGGAAGGAGTTGTTAGTAATGCTGACTAACAGTCCCATTGCTAGCAATATATCCTGTCAGGTCGACCTCCACGTGATCCCCCCTGGAAACCACCGCTCTGAATTCCAGGTGTATTCATCGCGATAGGCTAAATGACCTGCCTTTTCATTCTCGCCTATCATGCCTCATTGATACTCCGCCAACGTATACTGCTAGCAGTGCTAGCGCAGGCAGGATTACCATTCCATTATCCTCAAAAAACGGTGACAGTAAGTACGTAGCAGGGCGTAGTGCATGTCACACAAAACTCTTCCACCATTGTTATAAGTATCTAAAATATGACTTACTTTTTCCCATGTTCTTTAGTCTTTCTTTGAAAACAGCTTCATCATCGTGGCCTTTAGTTTTTTGTCCTTGTTCGCTATCCAATGCCGCCATAAATTCTTGATTCCATCTTAGTTCGGCCATAAATTCTTCGTTTTGTAGGAAAGTGGCTATGCGGTCGTCATCCATCTCCAAACTGAGATCTATTCTTGCATCGGTGCATGGAGGAATTCGGAGAAACATGGGAGGTAGAGGCCCCAGCATTCGGGGCACCCATTTCTTTCGTATCGCGAGTGGAACTGATTCGTCTTCAACATCTCTGTAAAAAAATATATATTAATTATTTATTCCATTGCAAATTAAGTTAATGTTACTTTTTCATCCTAATTACACAAGTTACAATGACTTTTTGCCTAGTAAACAAGTAGAGCATTACAAATTTAATTACAACTTAATGGGGTAAATTCAATTCGTTAGTTTTATTATACATTACTGTGTTAAAGATGTAGGTAAATGGTACTTTGTTAATGTGTATTAATGATTTGTGAATGCATATCTACAATACAAATGATAAACGAATGCGTGTACCTACGTTATGTATCTTGATTTCTAAAATTCCAGCATTCATAATTTCTTATTTTATGTTTCGTTAGTCACTGCTTAGTTTTATCGGCGGTAAACTTAAATATTACGCCTAATCATGATTACTTTTTTTATTTCGAACGGATTTTAATTTTTTTTTTTAATATATGTAGATATTTGAATATTGAATACAGCGACAGTAGAGATGATTCTTAAAAATCATTACGTACGTATTTTTAAAATAAAAATTTGAATATAATATTACAGCGAAATGTTTATTCTGAAAACTAATAACGAATAAATTATTTAATTTAATTTTCATACCTAGTTTAGGCACTAGGTACCTATAATCAGCGTCGGACTGGCCATATAGTCCAGGTGGCATTTGCCAGCCGGGCCCCAGCTTGCGTGGGCCTCCCATGAGCCTAGCTTGCGGGACTTGCAATGCCGCTACCAACTAGTGCAACTAGCATCATCTAGTCTTGGACCTCGGGATTGTGGTCAGCCACCCAGACACTTCCGGCCCAGCCCGACCCTGCCTATAGTATCTAATATAATATGTAGATATGTGTGTAGAATTATGAAAATTATTCTAAATAATACAATTTCTAAAGAGAGAAACGTCTTGAGTATAGGATTTGTGTATTACGTCTTAATTTGTCGCAAAAATTGATAATTAATTTTCGTAATGTAATCTATATAGTAATCTGTATGTTATGTATATAGTGAATACCTGGTACTAAAACCAAGAATAATCAAACCCGACCCAATTTGGAAAAGTGAGGGAGTGAAGGGATTGTAATGTTAGTAATGGAGTTTAACAGCTTCATTGCAAACGATATAGTCTATCAGGTCGAACTCTTCGTGGTTCTTCTTGGAAATTGATCTCTTTGATTAATTCTTGTGTAATTCGATCTGCCTTCATCCTCATCTATTATTTTTCACAGGTGTTCCAATAATGCAGGTGCGGTTACCATTCTATTATCACGCATTAAAAAATAATTATAAGCAAATTCGATTATTGGCTCGACTCTCAGAATCGAACCTGAGACTTTGCGTCATGGAGGTCGACAATGTACATTTAATTATTAGAGATAGCTAAAATAAACCCAAAGACGAAAAAAACTAGTTTTTAGAAGTAAAATAACTTATTTTTTAAAATTTAAGCTGGGATTTGGACTGACCAAAAATATTTTATTGTACTAATCGAGACAAAAACAAATTATTTCCTTTTGCATGTAGGTATCGTTTTTAAAGTTAATAATAATAATTTTTTGTTATTTAGTCTTATACTGAGAGCGTAAATGGACAACGTGTTCTAGACTAGTAGTCGTAAATTATAAAATGTCACTTAAGATTAGAAACACGTCGTTAGGTTTAGATAAGTAAAAATGAATATTCAATGTTTTATAGGCTTACTTTGCATTTATTTGAGAAAAGTTATTCTATCGAATCAATCGAACCAGTTATTTATTTATGTTTTCAGCTGATTCGATCACTAGTAGTAGTATAAATATTTTTCACACGTGCATTTTAAGTATAGGTGCAGGTTTTTCTTTTGCTACAGTAAAAAAATGCTATTTATGTATATAAAGAAAAGTTTGTGAAAATGTATGGATGAATGTTTGTTACTCTTTCTCGCTCAGGTAAACGGCTGAACGAATTTATATACGCTTAGTACATACATGATACAATAAATAGTTCTGTAATTTCTCTGTACATCTTGTTAATTTCTCCTAATCTGTACAAAGTGAAATTTAAACCATTAGTGGCTGCACGGGTTTTATTAGTGAAAGTAAATATTTTTCCCAAAGATACGTGGTTGAAAAATAAGAAAATTCTATAGTTGTAATTGTTTTTATTGTTATTTAACCTGTTCTTTGGAAAAATATTCAGTTTCATTGATAGAACGATTACCAAGCCTGGCAATAATTGCAAAACCCCTCGCATGGGAGAGGCCTATGTTCAGCAGTGGATAGTTAATGGCTGGTATAATATAATAATAATTGATATCACCTTGAAGTAATGACTTCGATTTTACCAAGGTAAAGTGTACCTAATATGTATAAGAAGGAAAAAAAGCAAATACCTAGATGGGTGTAAAATTTACCTAGTTGATTTTTAAATTATACTTCGGGATATTTTAGATTCTAGTTTATGCACAAATTAGGTATTTATTTATAAATACGCATTAATTAACTAACTAATGCAGTATTCATAGATATCAATTTACATTGAATTCTATTGTAAGTTTTTTACGGTATCTAACCTGTTGCTTCTTGTGGTCTGATTTATTGTTTATATTTTAGCTAAAAGATAGCCGGTACAGTTGTAGTACAGCTATTTGTAGGTTAGGTAGGTACAAACTTACACAAGCGCCGCTGTATCGCTGTCATCACAACTTTCAGTGGTTTTAGAGTTTGTCCGTCGGTCTTTGCGTCGTGTGGGTGTATTACTCTCCACTCTCTCCATTTCAAGGCGCAATCGTTCGTTCTGATTGTCCGTGCTCATCGCAAGCAGCTGATCGATGGTAGCATCCACCGCACCTTGATTTGCCCGAAGTACCGCCTCGATCACATCATCGTCCATATCCGGGAACATTGTTTTGAAGTCGGTCATCGCCTGTGTGAACTCGAGCTGCATTGTGGACGCCATCGCACCACCAGAAATGCGATCTGCGAGAGACGTCACAACCGCGTTTTTATAGCCGGCGACACAGCTGATATGTGACGCAGAACTTCCGCAATGTCGAGTTGCGTCGATATGCGGCCATCGGCCATTCTGCGACGCACTGAACGCCGCCAGCCACAGTGTCCTAGCCACTAATTAGCGTAGTACTTTCAGTAATTGTACTAAACGATACGCTGCATAGAGCGAAATCATGATGTGCAATTTTCACTTTCGGTGGTTTCAGATGTCCATAGCGCATGTGCGATTAGGGCTGCGTGTAGAGGGGGAATGTCGTCGATATAAATAGAGAATGCAGGAGCCAGCGCGCGTGCCGACCCCCGAACTTCGTTGACCACGATGCGTACTGCAGAATTCAACTCATAATGCGCATGCTCTAGAATTTGTTTGTAAATTGCGGTCGTCAATGTGACCTTTCTGCATAGATACTTTTCTGTGTAGCTACAAAATATCTACTTGTGATTATGATCTAACACACGCAACAGGAGTAGGTAGACCTCTACAGTTATGATTGATCAAATACAATGGTATGTTTATGTCTATGCAAATGTGCATAGGCATATAAACAACGCTTATCTTCTAGCAAAATAGACAGAAACAAATATTGCTATAATTCAAATAACACTTATTACGGATTATGGGTAATAAATATTATTTGAATTATGTCCACTAATAAATTGGTTATCTATTTGATTAACATATGAAGCGTTTCTTAACGACATTCCCAATTTATATTCATTCTTCCTGAATATATAATAAATCTTTTGTAATTCTTTTATCAAATAACCAAACCACCCTTTCCAAATGATCACGAGTATTGAAGGGATTTTCCGCTTAATTTTCTCTTAGAAAAATTTTGTACTATAGAAGACATTTGTTGTTAGGTACAAAATGGTAAAAGTTAAGCTGATAAAAGCAAATTATACCTATCAATCACGCAAATTAAATGATTTATATCTCAGACCCTTCTCTTGATTATTATAAAAATATATTAAAGTATACATAGTTAGCATCAAATTTTTAGTAAGTATTTAGATTCGATGTTAACTTTTTAAATCCAACCTACATTCCATTTATTTTCATCTTTTCCTTGTACCTGATTAAAACAATTGTTATATGACGGAAAATGACAGTCCAGTGAGGGTTGTACTTTGATTAGTCTTAATAATGTACTCACGTATGGCCTTAATGTTGCAAATAAATGTTTGAATAGTAAAACTACAATATAATATGTAGTATAATTTATTTTCGATATCTTACATATTAATCAATAATTTAGACAGATAGGTACTTAATTTTATACACACCGATTTTTTATTTTCTCGACAGAATCTATATTTTATGTAAGCTAGGAGAAAAATTATTAGGACTAATATACCCTAAAATTTTTTTAATCATAAACTTTATTTAAAAATTCTTCGAGTAGTATTAATAACAATACATATTACAAGAATATTACCTCTTTCTTGTTTATACATAGTTAATTTCAGAAATTAATGATAAGTATAAGTACATCATATATAGTTACAATTAGAAGTCATTGGTACAAATCAGTAAGACTGGTCATAACTATGACCATATACAGACATTTTGCTAAATTGTCATGGTCGTTAAAGGTTTCACTTTAAAAATATTTTTTATTTCAAACCCAAGAAGTGTTTTGATTAAAGTTGAAACATTAAAAATGCAGTCCATTGTTGAAAGCAAATAAGATTACTCTAACACGTACCCGTGGACATGTATGGGCAGATATACATCATCTACCTCCTCTATATTTTCTTGCCACCTTTATATATCCTTTCTTAGCAGCCCTCTCCTTTTACAAAGTATAATTGATTGATAAAATTATTACCGCTAGCAAGTCCATGAAATAAAATTATGTGGCGACGTGTGTTGTCGTTGTTTTTTTTTCTGTAATCTCATGTTGTAAATATTAAAGTGTCTACCTTTAATTATATTACACCTGTTCACTTATAAATGCTATCCATATAATTCACATGAACAATATGTGAATTTTCATGACAAAAACATTTAATGTTAACAGTTGTATACAATTATACATTTAACATATACTTGTTAGGCCATTGTGAAACTACTTACGGGGTCTTACCGTGTCGTTACCTTTACACCAATATAATAGAAGCGATGATACTATGTATAGTTTATACATTCAATACCTATATCTATACATATATTACATGTTCTCAAGTATTTTATGTAAATATTTCAATATATGTAAACAAAGTTGCCAAGTATTACGCCACATGTAAGGCACCTTGAATTTGGCATTTACTTTTGTATTGAGATTATGAATAAAAATTTATTAATTGCATAGTTCATAATTTTTTTATAATTCCGAATATGGATTTGAATAGATAATAAGGTAATTTCGGTTTTAATAAACAAACCTGAAATACTGGTTAGTTGGAAAATGTACTTTTGACAACAATATGTCACTATAATGATTGCAAATATGAAATCTATAGAAACATTTCATGAGTGTTGTTAAGTTTTTTTTTTTCTTATTAAAAACAAAATTAAATGGACGGTATGTGTAGCGTACGAATTGACATCATAAACTCTGTGTCTAACATTAATATTATACAGTACTAATAACTAAATCATAATATAAAATTAATATTATTAATCAGCATATTACTTATGTTAGACACAGTTAATGGTCCTTTTAAACCAATTGAAGGAACCATTACAGGATTGATTATCTTGTTATATTGACAAATTTTCTATTGACATATTTATAACTTTAAAAGATCAATAATCACGCGGTAATTATCCGATTTTTGGAATGAATTATGTTCTAAACAATGGGGGACTTACTAAATCTTATACTATTTAATATTAAGAAGACCAAATAGGCATGAAGTTTATAAAGGGGAATATACAACTAATGATATAAAAATAAAATTTAAAAACATAACACAATGGCACTATGATAATGAATGTTATTTAAAGTACATATAAAAGGGATATGAATTACAACAACTATCATTAAAATATTATGTACTAAAATTACCACATTTATATTAAAATATCTGATGCAAGCCGAACAGATTAGTTAGACAATTAGTTTATTTTTTCGAATTTTATGAACGGAATAATGGATTAGCAAATAAACAACTACAGTAAAGTTCATTCAATAAAAGCATTACTACATTATCACATAATTTCTTTATGAAAATATAGTATGAATACTTGATTTTATAAGATAGCAAGTATCTTAAACTTTTGAATATAATAAGAACTAAAAAACATGTAAATGAAAAATTATAATTAAATGGTAAATGAAATAATGTATATGATTAATATAAGTAGAAATGAAATGCTGTTCGTTGGTAAGTGCATCACTCGACTTAAACAATTTGTTGAAATTTTTGTAATAGCCCAATGAAGGTGGGTTAGTTAATTTTTAATATTTCATAGCCGTTAATTCAAGTTTTGTAAACATATATAAATTCAAGAGCTTTCATTCATTCATTCCATTATTATAATAACAGTATTCTTTAATTAATAGATTAGAAAGAAAAAGCATAGGTCATATCACGTATTATGTACATTTCATTAGATAGGTCATCAGTTTATCAGAGTAGTTTGTTATATTTTTATCGATGATAATATTAAGAATTGTGGTAATAAACAAAATAATTTCTATGACTTATCTGGAATATCATAATTTTTAAATATATATTTTACTTAAATATCAGATAATTATATTATTAGAGACAACAGCGTGATAATTACTCACGTGTTTATCTAATGAAGCAAAGCGAGTTCATTCACATTACTGAACAATAATAATTTGGCATAAAAAATAGCTTAGTGAATATTAGGTATAATTATGGCCTAAACACTTCAATTACAGATAACCCTTATGAAGGTGTAATTCAGACGCGAGCCTGGGATCCTTGTTGGGGCAGCATCACCACTGTACTAGTCGCCAATGTAGGTTGCGGTGCTTGCTGCTCGCTTGGTGGTGTCTCCGGCTGTAAAGCAATGTAAACGTGAAAAATGAACGATTATCTAGCCGTGATCCGCGGCTCTGCTCGCGTGAATCAATATACAAAGTATCCGAAGTGCTAAGTTACGATATAATCTTCTTGTACCCCAAATTTAATTTAAATCCTTTTAGTAAATTTTGTGTGAAAGAGTAACAAACATCCATCCATTTATCCAACATTACAAACTTTCTCATTTATTACATTAATAGGATTTTATGAAAAAAATACATTAGAGTATCAATAGTAGGCTATTGATACTCTAATGTATTTTTGTAAAAAATAATATTAAAAATAAAACCGTTTAAATACTTTTAAATTTAATAATAGATGTGATAGTAGACATGATCAGAAATATTGTGCCACACTGCTTATGACAATGTTGACCTCACCATTAAATAAAGCCTATTCTCGTCAAATTTCAGTATTAATGAGCAATAGATATGAAAGTATAATAGATTACTATCAGACAAACATGAAATTGTTTTGGGTAATTATAACTAACTATAATTGGTTGAGGCTTCACTTACAGTGGTGATGGCAGGGTCAGCTGTGGCCATAAGCGTGGCGGCGCGGTACGAGGGTGGCGGCGTCTGCTTGACGGCCTCCTCGTAGTCCGGCAACAGGCTGGAGTATGGCGCCGGCGGTGGTGCGGCCGAGTATGGCGGCGCGGGCGCTGCGAGGGCACTCTCGCCGGTGATCACGAATGGTGTGAGGCTCTGCAGACGGTGCGCGCGCATCGTCAGGTACTTGTAGCACCGCCACACCACGTTAATACAGTATCCCTGGTTGCAACAAGATGTTTTAATACTAGGAAATCGTGTTTTTCAGTAACATTCTTATAGAGTACCAAATATTTGTCGACTTTACTTAATTTTTCTTTACTAGCAATCCTAGGGTGGATATCGCTTCATTTCATAAAAATAAAATACAGCCAATGATGCTCCCTGATAATGTAGCTTGCTACATTTTTATGCTACATAATTTTTTATTAAAAGATTTTTTTTGAGCTTATCCAAAAAAAAAAAAAAACAAATCTGTTCACTTTTATATTTCTAGTTTAGATATTAAACTAAGCTAAAGAAAATAAATGACTTTGCCTTTAGAATAAGCTAATATTTACCTTGAGTAGGACCGCAATGAGGAAGGCGGAGAGTACGACGAGAGCGAGCGCAGGCGCTGGCAGCCGGAGCAGCTGGTCGCGCCAGGGAACCCGCCGTGTTTCAGCCACCAGACGGTGGATGGAGCGCAGGTAACAAAGGTATCCAGTTGCTGTTAAACTATAAGGGAACATTTTCAGTAAAGTTTTAAATAAAATTCATCACTACATTGCTGGCATTTTAATATTGTGTAGTCAGTCACCCAACAAGCTCTTCATCATTTATTCAGCAATTTAACTATATCACAGTGACCAATGTAATATGAAAGATGTTGATATGAGAAAAGGCCTAGCTACAAAGTTAGTTTTACGATAATTGTAGCAAATTTTACTGTGCAGTAATTAAGTAGGGACCCTCATACAGGAAATTATAGTAGAGTAACTCTAAACCGCATGGAATTGTAACTTAGAATTTGTTGCAGGAATTTGATGAAGTTATATCCACACTTTTGTCATCATCTTCCTACCCTTATTCCAATTATTATTTGGGATCAGCGTAATATGTTTTTTATTCATATTACAAAAAGATTTGGCTTATAGTTTTATGACCGGCCTTCTACCTGACGTCAATCCTCTTTGGGAGGGGGGAAAGGGATTGTTAGTAATAGAGACTGAGAATCCCATTGCTAGCAATATACCCAACCAGGTCGACCTCCTCGCGGTTCTCCCTGGAAACTATCATGGTTAATTCCTGATGAATTCATTATGATGGGCTAACTGACCTGTTTTCATTCTCATCTATCACCCTTCACTGGTGCTCCGCCAGCGTATCCCGTTAGCGCAGGCGGAGTTACCATACCATTTTCACCCATCAAAAAAAAATCCTCTTTGGGAATATCCACATTTTTGTTTTATAATAAAACATTTTAATTATAATAAAGATTATAAGAAATAATTATGTTTTAAAGACTTCTTTACATAATATATATTATAAAGTACATATATATTTTGCTTTGGCTGATGGGGTAGTCACTATGTCGATATTGTGGCGACAGCAGGTGGCGTGCTTACCGCCATCACTAAGATTAACTTTTTTGATAGCAGTATTTTTCATCATCAGAGTGGCAAATGAGATTGATGTACTAAGCTGCTACACCAAACACCTAATAGAATTAAAATACGTATTTAATGAATATGTATTTTTAATTCTAACATAATGATATTGCTAATTTGATAATAATGGTTAACAATTATTTTAATAAATTTTAATGAATCATCGATACTGATGTCAATTATGAGTCATTAAACAATTGTTGTATACAATTACACAACAATGTAATATTATCATAAGTTTCATTACTTACACAGTGATAGCAAAGTCAAATATCTGTAGACAGAAGAAGGGTAGAAGATGCGCGGGCTTGCCGCGCGCCGCTCCATATATCAGCATGAGGGTGATGGTCAGGGTACACACTGTAACCAGTGCACCCACATCCACATCATCTATAGCACACACAGTCGTAATTCATTAATAAATCAAGTATATTTATATATAATAATTTTATCTAACTTCAAAAGAGACTTTTAATTCCATCTTTAGTGTCACACTATTAGTGTGTATCTTACATGATATAATTGAAATGATTTTAATGATTTATTTCTGTTTTCGCCCTTCCTAGTTTCATCAATATTGAAAAACGTTTTTTAGATGAAAACCTGATAAGTTCATAATTATTTACAAAAGTAAATACAGACTGTGTGACTATAGTATTAAATATACAAACGATGGTTTAATCTTGAGGAGTACTACAGATGTTCAATTATATTGCAAGATCCTTTAACGATAAAGCAAAATATTACAATAAGTAATAAAAAAAAGTACATAATAAATAGAAATTGTATATTGAAAAGATATTATTACTCAAATTATGGTGTTAAACATAAAATAGACATGTTCATGATTGTGTCATAGGCATTTCTTTACTATATTTATGGTGGTGAATGTAACACTTGATATTTCCATACAATACAGTAAATAATGTAAATTATGGTGATAGTAGGCTCCCCTACTACCACCATAATTTTTTTGTATAAGTACATAAATGTTAATTGAATCATACTCACGGTATATCAAACTATGGTCTCGTGGTTGGTAGGCATGCTGTGGGAAAGAGCTAGGCGGTGGTTCTACATTGGACAATGGAGTGGGCAGCGCATTGTTTGGTCTACCAACATCACTCCAATCGGCGACGGGCGAGGCATCGCGTTCCAGCTCATCCAGGAGGCGTGGATCGCGCACAATGGCTGCCAAGAATCCTAGTGCCACCAAATGCAACATCTGGGAAAAGAAATTATGAGAAATATAAATATTTGATTATATTTTAATTTCAACAGAACAAGAAATAAATATAATTTTGAATGTAATCCTTTTCTTAAATCTATTAAGTATTTTTTGAGTTTATCCATAACAAACAAAAAATTAAATCTCTTCTCTTCATAACATTGAGTTAAAATATGACATTTATATCACAATGATTTATTATTTTACACATAAATAACAAGTAAAATCTTACCAAATGCCATGTGCCTAATAAGATGGTGCCAGTGCGCACATGGAGACAGAAGCAGCATCTCCACTCACTGCTGCGATCACTTCCCAATTTGGGAAACCTCAACATTGTGAACTATTAGAAAAAATTAAATATTAGAAAATAAATATATAATATAATCAGTATAATGTAAAATGATGTGGAAGACAATTAACATTATAGTAGGTTGTTCTTTCAATTCTTCTCAGCTGAAATAGATTTTGAACTGAATGGTTGATTCATAAAATTCTCTTCCAAAATGTTTATAATTAAATTTATTTGAATAAAAAATATTTCTACTTATTTATTGTACAATAATATATTGCATAAGGTTTTTGGAGCAGAAGCCACTTTATTAATTGTGATAGATACTTTCTTACAATCAAATGTTTTGTTGAATGTGTTATATTTTGATGATTGTGTGATAATGAATAATAATAGTAAATAATTATTTTTCTATAGTTTTTGTGATTTGTCATTTGCATCATGTACAAAATTATAATCAGACTTCTATAAGAAATTGTGCAAAATAAGTTCTTAACATTTTTCAAAAGTCTTTTTAATGAATTTTGTGTAAAATGAATTTAGTTTATTGTTTACTAGAGACATGTTTATAGTCAGGTTTTGCATGGCTTGATAGAAAAAATATAAATTACTTTGATACTTTGGGTTACATTATTGTCATTCTTGTAGGGATCTCTAATTATTAAAAAATAACATGTACACGTTACACGCTGATAATGTAACTTTCTGTAGGTGAAAGAATTAACAAAATCAATTGAGTAATTTTTGAGTTTATCCATTATAAACAATCAAATCTTTTCCCCTATAATATTAATTAGTATAGGTGTAAGTTACGACATTGAATCTGGTTATAATTAAATATAAATATTGTATGTTGTAAATAGTTGTGATTACTTTTCACTTGTGAATTCTATAGGTTTCTAACATTATTATTTACGAGATAAACGACATACCAAATAAAACAATACAATGCCACATTAAAATTGTTAGATGTAAATGTTTGTGAAAGATAATATTGTAACTTATCAATTTTTAAGCAATAAGCAAACCACGTCGTATATGATGACGAATTTAGTTACAATATGGATAACGTGTTATATATTACTTTAGATTCGTTTATTACATACCTTTTTGCTGAAATGGATTACTCAGCTTTTTCAACATAAATAAACACAAAAGAATCAATAAATTTAGGATTTATTTTTCAATTTCAGAATGCAAGCAAAACTTATATCAATACAAAATCCACAAATACTAGAAGAAAAAATAATATTTTATTTTTAAATCTCTTAGTGTTGTCATAATCAATTACAATCGATTATTAATCAATACTAAGATTAAGGATCAATGAAACTAATATTAGTTACGGGAACAATATACGCTCTAATTTTCATCAATTTATATACAAAAATTTATTAATAATAAAACTGAATTTAATAATGTAATAACAGCAAGTACTACAATGGCAAAATTCTATCGATTGTACATAATTTGATCAATAGGTTGTAATATACCGTAAAATGGGGTTAATAGGGATCGAGGTCTGAATAGAGACATAACTGGTTTTGAACATTTGAAGCTGAATGAAAAAATAACAACTTACCAGTTATTGCAAAAAGATTTAACATTTAGTAGAATATGAAATCTTTTAAATAAGAAAAATGTAGGCTTGGGAAGTTAATTAAAGATCCTCCTCCTCCAGAAACTTTCTTTGTGTTTTGTAATTACGGATAAATTTGATTTAAAAGTGTTTTCAACAAATTTTAATTTTATTGTGGAGCTTCACAAACGAAAATAAGCCTAGATATTACGTTGTTTTTGTTTTAATTCAAAATATCTTCAGTGTTGTGATTTCGACGCAGTTACGAGGTTAGTAGGCACAGAAAAGGTGTGAATGGGCACGCCGTAGGTCCGAATCGGAACGCCATAGCATATATTAGAGATGAATGGGAGTTGAATGGGTACGGTAAGGTTTGTACAGGGACAGGGCTGCCACTGTTACTATTTATATTATAGTATCAACCTAGCCGTGGTAACCTTACTAGTTAACCAGTAAGGTTGTTATGGCTTGCATTAATTTTTCAGAAGAAAAGAAATAATTTATTTATTTTAACTAAAATAACATAAAAAGGTGTCGTGCATAAACACATAGGTATGTTTGAATATATGCTTATTTACTTCATAATAAAGAGGATGATGATGATGATTTTTTTTTTATTAAAATGTTTCGGAACGGCAGATTTAAATGTATTGAAATTTGCAAATATGTAAATATTTGAATTTTTTACCATAATGTTATAATTATTTTGCATTCTGTTATAGATAAGTATCCCTCATTAGCCCTAAATATTTTTTTTTTATTTAAATAGATAATATTTTTTACTTCGAGGTAATTTCCATTATGTATATATGGTGTATTTATAGTAACTTGTTCCAAGAGTTTAGGACAATCCAGGGCACTGATTATAAGCTTATGTAAGAAAGTATGTTCAAGCGACTGTCTCTTAATTTTTAGGCTATTTAATTTAAAATAATTTAATCTTTCATTAAAGGAATGCTTCTTAGCTTTGCCAGTACTGTAAAACAAATACTAGAGGAATCGTTCCAGCACTGATTCAATACCTTTTTATATAAATAATTTAATAGGGAGTCCAAACTTGACAACAATATTCAAAGCCTGATCTTATGAGTGCATTAAACACAGTCATTTTACTAGACGTTAATTTAAATTGTTTAAAATTTCGAGATATATAACTGAAGTAATTTAAAGCTTTTTGTAATATGCTATTAATATGTATGTTTTGTTACAAACATGCTCTACTGAATTTGTTACTATGTAGTCTTGTTTAGGTGTAAGATTCAAAGTTTCTATTGTTTTTATTAATTTAGATCAATTTAGAATCAAGACGGCATTTTATTTAGATATAAAGTTATTACCAGATCTCATGTATCTACTATATGTATATAATCTGATAATATATAAAAGTAAGAAAAAGTCAATAAAAGTAATTAATTTATGAAATTTTCTAATTTCATTTCACCTATCCTTTACCATTAGTCATCATTTTGTTTTTTTTTTAGCTATTATCCGTTTATTGCTGGACATAAACTTTGCCCATAGATTGCCATAATGAGTGTTCTTGAGTCACTTGCGTCCACTGACTCACTGTAATGCGTTTGAGGTCATTACTACATCTAGTGGGGATCGTCCTACACTTCGTTTACTCGTACGGGATTGCCACTCAAGAACCATTCTTCCTCATCGGTTGTCGGTTCTTCGAGCTGTGTGATCAGTCCATTGCCTTATTCTTTGGACTATGTCGGTTATTTTGGTTCTGTTGCGGATATCCTCGTTTCGGATTTTATCACGCAAAGAGCCTCCGAGCATAGCCCTCTCCGTAGCCCGCTGAGTAACTTGAAGCTTTTGGATACGGGCAATCGTGTAAGACCATGTTTCGGTTCCATAAGTCATCATTGGCAATACGCACTGGTTAAAGACCTTCGTCTTCAAACTCTGAGATATGTTGGATGAAAAGATGTGGCGAAGTTTTTTGAACACTGTCCAGCCGAGTTGGATTCGTCGGTTAACGTTTTGGTCGAAGTTAGACTTACCCGTTTGGCCAACTAGTCCCAGATATTCATACTCGTCGAAAACTTTGAGTGTAGTGTTTTCAATCGTAACCGGTATAGGTGTGACATGGACGTTAGACATGATTTTAGTCTTGTCCATGTTCATCTTACAACCTACCTATTAAGTAATACTATTGAGCAAAGTATTCAGATCCTCTAACAAAATGGGCTTTATGTTGTCTATATAAATAAATATTATTATTATTATACATAAAATACACTTATAAACAAACATATGCTCTCACGCATGGTTAATAAATTACAGTAAATTTCATACAGTAAATGGCAATAAATTTACAGTAAATTTTGATATTGTTTGTTTTATTTTCATAAACAGTTGTAGATATAAACCAGTTAAACTAAGCTACTAGTAAGTAGCTAAACTAAGTTTTTTTATAATCTTTCTTTGTAATGGGGTAGGCTACCATTTTTTAGTTAAGATATTGTACAGCCTTACGATTTTTCCCAATTCACCTCATTACTGTTATAGTTTATTCCTTTTCTAGGTATGACACATATTGATATATTTTGTTAAAAATCATTGGGGAATTAAATATATTTTTAAACTTTTTTCAATATTTTTTAATCTATAAGCGGGCGGGACACCTTGAAACGGTTATCGATGTTATATTTGTACTAAAACATCGATAAATTTTCGTTTGAGGTTCGATTTTGTACTTATGGCCCTTTTTTTTTTAAAATAGCAGTGTGGATGATTTTGTAGTTCTGCTATACTAACTTATTAATTAACCTAATATTTTAATATAAATCTCGCGAAATTACTGCTTGTCATATATCAGAATTCTAATAAGTTTTATTTAAATTAATTATAAAATTATTACGTGATTGTTTTTATAATAAAAATTTCACTGTGATATCAAACTGAAACTTTATTTTAAACATATGTTTAGTGAAATGGCACCTCAGACCCCGATATTGCTTCTATTGATTGATTTATGAACCAAAATAGTTATTACATATTTATAATTGGTAATATTTGTTGTAATATTATTATTCGTTTTTGCAATTATAACTCGTTTTTTAACATATTTCTATAATATATAATATTATTTATGCTTTTGAATCTTGAATCTATGGTCATTGTTACCTTGTAATTGTTACTTTTTGGCTGATGGCTTTCGCCAAAGTCACAATAAATGAAAAAAAAAAATCTATGGTCATGAAAAATAAAAATAAAATGACATGTTACAGTTTTGACATGTGATACATCTTTGTCAAAGCGATTTTGTTTTATTACTCATTCGTATTTAGGTAATAATTAATTACACAAAATAACTTTATTTTATGTATATTAAAGTAACTGATTAGTGTTTAATTTGTAGATATAATGGACAAAATTCCAGACCAAATTGGGTATTTAATACTCACAGAGGACGGTGCAGTCCTTGAATCTGGGGGAGAACTTGAAAACGACGAACGTGTTGCTACGATAATAACTGATCTCATCACACTGTCCAATAAGTCAGTATCATTGGTTTTGTCTAATATGGTAGGTATTACTTATATAGCCTACAGTTACTATATAACAATTAAATTTTTCAGAGTTGATCCGTGTGCCTTTTCTCCAAATGAAAAGTTCAAGAAAATATCCATAACTTACGATGACCATTGGTTTGTTATCTGTCTTTCTAATAAGAAAATTTATGTGGTGAAGAGAAGCATACCATTATCAATATCTGAAGGAAACACTATCAATGTTTGAAATTTACCATTAAAATATTAATCGAAATGGCACGAAATTTATTAATGAGTAGCCTTGAAAATGCATCTTTTAATATATTATTCCAAATATTATTTCGTTGTATTACATTTTTAATTAACGCATGGGTCATTCGAAATGTAGAGCATGAAGTTCTTGGTATTATGAATGTTAGATTGCTACTCCTAGAGAGTACTATATTATTTTTAAGCAGGGAGCCTTTCACTCGAGCATGTTTAGGACAAAAAGATGAATTTAGTTGGAGTCACATGATTAATCAGATATGGCTCTCTGTACCTATTAGTTTTGTTTTGTCACTTATTTTTGTCTACATTTGGTTGAACATGTTGCCACTAAGTAATCCAGAATATGCATTTCAGTATGCATTTGGTTGCTGGAGTATAGCATTTTCATGTGTCTTAGAATTATGTTCAGCCAATATGGCACTGGTTGCACAATTATATTGTTTTGTCAAACTGAAGGTAGCCCTTGACACATTACATATTTTTGTTAGATCTATATTATTTTTGTCTATTATTATATATGATAGGTCTTTGGCACTTATTGCATTTTCAGTTGCACAGGTCGGAAGCATTGGAGTCATAGTCTTGAGCTATTATCTCTTCTTTTTTTGGTATATTAGAAACAAGCCATTGTATGCTAAAGGAGCGTTAAAAAGTAAATTGGTTCCTGAATCTATAATGTACAAACTGTATGACAATATGGATGATTTTCAGTTCACTTCTATAAAAGATTTTCTTCCTAAGTATATGGGATCTTTTAATTCAACATTTAACAAAAAATTAAGTTCTCTTACAATTAGTTTTGCTAAACAAGGTGTGGTGAAACAACTTTTAACAGAGGGTGAAAAGTATGTCATGTCTGTGAATCCAGTAATGTCATTTTATGAGCAAGCCACATATGATGTGGTAAATAATCTAGGTAGTCTTGCTGCTAGATTTATATTTAGACCTATTGAAGATAGTAGCTATTTTTACTTTACACAAATGGTAAATAGAGATTTGCCTCTTCATAAACAAGATCAGTATAAAGTTCAAGAATCCTGTACAGTGTTGTCACAAGTTTGTAAAACTGTTACTTCTATTGGATTGATAGTATTGGTGTTTGGGCAAAGTTATGCACGGACTTTGTTGTTGTTATATGGTGGTGAAGCATTTGTTGCAAGTGGCCTGCCAGTACAACTGCTCCGCAGTCATTGTTTGGCTATTGTTCTATTGGCAATAAATGGTGTTACAGAATGTTATACATTTGCTACAATGACAAGTGCCCAATTGAATAATTATAATTACTTGATGGTGTTCTTTTCAATAAGTTTTTTACTATTGTCTTATGTTTTAACTTATGTATTAGGACCTGTAGGTTTTATTGTATCTAATTGTATAAACATGTTTGCTAGGATTTTACACAGCATTCATTTTATAAAGGACAAATATAAGGATACAAGCTATAAACCTTTGGAAGGTCTTTATGTTGGGAAAGTTTTTATTCTTGCCTTATCTATTGGGGGTTGTGTAACCAAAGTTTCTGAAAATAATTTATTAAATGATTCAATAATTATGCATATAACTGTTGGAGCAGTATGTTTTATATGTGTGCTGCTTGCATGGGCTTATGAGAATAGACAACTTGTTATTAAAATGTATAAAAAGTTGATAGCCAAAGAAGATATAAAAGTTTCTCGAGATTGAGATTGTGGTCAGTGATATTTGTGAAACTTATGTAAGATGCAACATAATATTGTATAGGTGTACATTGAAATTGGAATGTTTATAATAAAAATAATAGATTTGTTAACATAAAACAAATGGTTTTATTTAAAAGTTTATTTTATAATATAGTTTTTTCATTTATGTGTAAGGATGCTAATAATATTGTTTATATAGGATAAAAAAATACGCCTTTCATTTGTGCTTCACAAATCCTTTTTACTTCATCTGTAATAGAATAATAATAATAAGTATAATAAATAATTCTTAACAAATTATAATATATATAAAAAGTACCTGATATTTCTTTTAATGTTGCATTTTTTTCTTGAATTATAACATAAAACTCTCTTTCATTTGATGTCTTTCCTGTAATCCAGTATTCATCAGGTATTTTTACAATTATCTCTCCATAATTTCCCAAACTGTAATGTTTTATTTATTGCTATGAGTATTATAATATTTACAACTATAAAAGTATTATTTATATCTTATTAAGTCTTACCTTTTTTTATCAGAGTGCATCCCAGCTATTATACTTAGTACTTCAGGTTTTAAAGTTGTTGATGGAATTAATTTATTTATGGGACGCTGAAAATTAAGTAATTATTTTACATAACAATGTCTTATTTTACAATGTAGGTAGTAAATAAATAAAATCCAATGTTGCTATTTCGGAATTGATTAAGATAATTTTTAATGATAAAAGAAATTCATAATTTGTAAAGTTGCTGTAAAAATCTTTTATTATTTAAATTAACTTACATTTACTGAACTTTTGAATGCTAAATTAAGTCTATTGAAATAGACAAATTTGGTGTCACTTGTTATTTGAGCGTTTTGTAATGCTTGTATTGTACATTGCTCACTAATTGTAGAAGCTATAGTGGATAGTTGTGGGCCGATAAACGCATCCAGTGATCTGAATGTTTCTATTTGTAGATTTGTGTTTACTGGAAAAAAGTTTAATATTTAAAAATTTGAAATATTATTTTTATTGATATTAAAGTGGTTGCAGATCTATTATTTTCATACTTATTTGACCGATATAGATATTATATTAAAGAAGAGTATAGAAAATAGTTAAAAATTATTATTATCAGTAATAAGGTCAGAATATTACTTTTGTTAATAAATCAGTCATGTTAATATGTAACTTAATTTTATGCGTTATATTTTTGTGAAAAATAATTATATATTATTATTATATCAATTTTCTTTTTATACAAAAATACCTCTTTCTGTATACATTATGTTTTTATAATAAGAATATAAAAAAATATTCATTAGTGGAAAACTAAGTATATGCTTAAATACAAAATAAAAAGCCACTAAATTTGATTTTAACGCCATCTAGTTTGATGTGTTTAATTTTGTTTTCTCTGCAACCAGTTTAAGTTAGATAAGTAGATATATACTAACCATCAACAATAAAGCATACAGTTGCACTTAAAGTTCTGTAAACGATTAGATAATACTGTTTTGTTTCAGTATCATCCTCGCACATGAGGTATACCTTTACCAATTTTTGTAAGTCTTCTTTATTTCTAATACCTTCAGGTGGACTTATAAATCGACCATGTCTTTGTGCAGCGGCCACTGCATCGCCTTGTATCTCTTTTGCCACTTGTGTGGGTAACAATTTTTGTACTAAATATTGGTATAGGGTGAGCATGTCATTTTTTGATAATGCATTCCTAAAAATTCAATCAAGGAATATTTTAAAAAATCTATACTAATATAATAAAGCTGATGAGTTTATTTATTTGAATGCGCTAATTATCAGTTGGATTTGAAAGATTCTTTTTACATTTGTTAATTTACAATATTACGATATGATCACGAGCTAAGCCGCGTAATACAGCTGGTTATACAAAGTATTGTCAGATTGTTTGCATAACTGTGTTTCGGTTTGAAGGATGGGATATGGCGTGAATTTACTGGGTACAGAGGAATAACACCTGAGTCCTCAGGAATGGCAACGCATGGGGGGTATCATGGGCGAAACAGTATACTCTATTATGTCCATGGTACTGCTCATGTCTATAGGCGACGGTTACTACTTTCCATCAGGTGGGCCGTCAGCTTGTTTGCCATTCTAAGTAGTATAAAAAAAAAAAAAAAAAAATTTACTTACCAAATGAGCTGATCATTGTAGACGAAAGAAATACATTTGAAATCAGGATAATTAATTTCCAGTAGGTCTATGAAGCAAATTACTTTGAAAAAGGAATTTTTGTCTAGTGGCAAGTAATGTATACCTTGAATCACATCGGATATATCGTTTGTAATGTTTTTTGATAATATATACTGAAAGTATAAGATTTCATATAATATAATGAATAGCTTTATGCAGTTATAAAATTGAATTTTAAAAGTAATAGAATCTTATTAAAATAAAAATTTAGAAAACTGCTCTTCTTTATATAAGTAATATATAAATTGATTGATAGTTATCGTATGAAATAAGTCAGAAAAGTTTGGTGTCTTCGTCTTTTTCATGTTCGTTTGTATTCGTTGTAAAGAACATTTGTCTACAGATAGATTTGTTTGCCCTTGTCAATAAAAAAAATAAGCTTTTTTTATACAATTCAATGATAATGACACTCCTTATGCTGTAGTGTGATGCATTCTTGAGGACAAGAAATTTGTATATTTGTAGAAGTCGTGGCTAGGGGAGGTAGGGGAGCATTGGGCAGTCGGGAGGTTTGGGCACCCCCTCATTTCTCCAAAACTTTCATAGATATTTTTTGTTTTCTACCACAGCACTATACTTTATTCACTAGCAACACCGCTTATCTAAAGTGTCAGCTGTCATTTCACTTGGTTGTCAAGTTACATGCGCGTAACGGTTTGCTGCGTACAGAAGTAAATATTTTATTTGTGATTTGATGTAACTTATCAAAGAAATCTGCAAGAACGTGTAAGTATGTGTTATCTTTTTCTTTTGTGTTTAATGAATATTATATTTGCCTGTAAATTAGGTTTCTACATTTGATAAAAATAATCTTATTCTAATCTATTTGAAAAGTGAGGTTATGGGGAGCATTGGGCACGCAGGTAGGAGGGAGGTTTGGGCATGCCCAATGCTCCCTCTGTTTTTAGTGTATTTTGGTGTCTTTTTGCTATGCCTATTGGATTGAGTGGTTAATCATTTCTTTTTAGGACAATGCCGTTTTCATTTAAAAAGAAAAATAAGCGACGTGAAATCCCTAAAGATATTATTTTGCGCGCATTGGAAGAAGTTTCCAAAGGTGCTAAAATTAAAAGTACTGCGAATAAATATGACATACCAAGATCTAACCTTCAAAGGTATATCAAGCAGGGTGGTGTCGTAAAAGATAATTCTTGTAAATTTATATCGTCTCAAATATTCACAAAAGATGAAGAAGAGAAAATTTCGGAATATCTTGTAACATCTTTTAAACTAAACCATGGACTATCAAAACTGAAAACACGCGAATTGGTTTATGAATACGCCACTGCCATTAAAAAGAAAATACCAGATAACTGGACAGAGAAGAAACTTGCATCCAAAGACTGGATAAGGGGATTTTTTAAAAGACAGCCTCAACTTTCGATAAGGACACCAGAGGCTACCAGTCTGTCACGGGCCACAAGCTTCAATAAGACAAATGTCGGAAATTTTTTTGAAAATCTTAAAACTGTGTATGAACGGCATCGCTTCGGCCCTGAGTCTATTTACAATATAGACGAAACTGGATTATCAACGGTGCAACGAACCCAGAAAGTGATTGCTCTCAGAGGCACTAAGCAAGTTGGGCAAGTAACGTCAGCTGAAAGAGGGACGCTTGTAACGGTTTGCTGCGGTATTAATGCATTGGGTAACTCAATACCACCATTTTTCATATTCCCACGGGTTAATTTCAAAACATATATGCTAAATGATGCCCCTGTTGGTTCAGATGGAGCAGCACATCCTTCAGGGTGGATGACATCACCAAATTTTTTAAAATATATTCACCATTTCGCCAAACACGCAAAACCAACGCCTTCATCGCCAGTTCTTTTGCTGCTGGACAATCATGAGAGCCATATTTCAGTACCAGTTCTCGATTTTTGCAAACAATCAGGCATTGTTTTAATGACTTTCCCACCACACTGCAGCCATAAACTGCAACCTCTAGACCTGACTGTCTATGGACCACTGAAAACTTATTATAACACTGCTGTAACAGATTGGATGGTAAGCAATCCGGCCAAAACAGTAACAATTTATGAAATACCAAAATTAGCAGCAAAAGCCATTCCATTAGCATTCAAGTTGCAGAATATTCAAAGTGGATTTGAAAAATCTGGCATATGGCCATTGAATTCTCCGATGAAGATTTCGCTTGTTCTTTTATAACTGATCGCTGCTTGTCGGAAGAGGGTAATGTTCCTTCAGAACAATCTATTTCAGACCAACCTGTCACTGAACAGCCTTCAACAGGGGAAAATCAGAGTCTAGAGGATCGTACAAGTTCAAATGTGGAAGTCATTGGGCCATCTCAACTGGAATCTCCCTCTACAAGTCAAATTAGTGGCACTGTCAATGTAACACCTGATGTAGTAAGACCGTATCCGAAGGCCGGCCCCAGGAAATTGCAGGGTATGAAACGGAAGAAGGGAAAAACTAGAATATTGACGGACACACCCGAGAAAAGACTTATAGAAATGGAAGAAGAAGAAAGACAAAGAAAAAATAAGATCAAAGAGCTCAACAAAAATAGAAAATGCTTCAAAAATACAGGACAGAAAAAAATTCCGAAACTTGCTGATGAATTTACTTCCAAACTAGAGAAAAACAGGAAAATTAGCAGCGATGATGAAATAGAAAATGTTTCAGTTTCTGACGAAACCGTTGTTGAATCGGAAGATTTTGATGAAGACGATGTGATCGTTCTGGATAGAAATTTCCAGATCAATAACTTTGTATTAGTGAAATTTGACACCAAAAAAACTGTCTACCATTATGTTGGAATAATCGAAGATGTTAATCAGACGATGGCAACTGTAAAATTTATGAGAGTGAGTAAGTTAAGAAATACTTTTATATTTCCTGACATCGAGGACGTAGCCAGTGTCCTCCTGGAGGATATAAAGACAAAATTGCCTACACCAACGACATGGATGAAACGTGGCAGCTTAAAATATAAATTTGACAAGCCTCTATGGATCATACCAAATATAAGATAAGTTTAATTAAGTCTAACATCGTGCAGTACTGATTCTAAGTCACATTGTTAAATTTTTCTAAAATCTATGATAAGAAAAAATGTTTGTATTACAATTTTTTATAGTAATGTTATATAATACTTAAGCCTAGTAGTATAGTAAAGCAATTTCGTGCATATTAAATACAGTGCCCAAACCTCCCTACATGGGTGCCCAAACCTCCCGACCGCCGGGAGGTTTGGGCACTTTGGACATGTGTTCGAAGATCTCTTGTAACTTTGAAACTAATTACAATATTGAAACTTTTCTTAATAATAATTACTACCAAATATGTGTGCTCCCTATATTAGGAATAAAATTTTGATTATGATAAAAAATAACAGTTTTATTAACATTTATGTAAAAAAGTGCCCAATGCTCCCCTACCTCCCCTATTGTATCGTTAATCTCGAAACGTAACAAAAAACACACCACAGATATTTTTGTTGCGTTTCAAGAATAGAACATCCAAAGACACATTTGAGCGTTCAATGTCAGCTCTTATTAGATTTATGGTGATTTATATATACTTTTATACTAGTATACTATTTTGAGCTCGGCAAAACTACGGATATAGTCGCGACAATAGCTAACTCCAAACAAGCCTTCAATAATAAAAAAAACGCCTTTTACAGGCTAAAAAAAATAAAAGATATTAGAAAGCGGCTTATCAAGACCTATATCTGGAGTATAGCTTTGTATGGATATGAGACGTGGACACTAACCCAAAAAGAAATAGATAAACTTAGAGCCTTTGAAATGTGGCGTGGAAAGGGATAGAGAAAATAGCTGGAAACATCGAATTAGTAATGAAGTCTAACTTAGGGTTAAGGAAAAGAGACAAATTGTAAGAATTGAGCTCAGAAGAGGAAAAATGTTACGACACTTGATACGACACGACGAACTTATAAACATTATAATAGAAGGTAAGATAGAAGGAAGGAGGGGAAGGGGGAAACCAAGACATAGTTTCATCAGGCAGATTAAGGAAAAAGTTGGTGTCGTGTCGTATCAAGAGGTGAAGAGGCTTGCTGAAAATCGTGGTGTGTGGCACGACTCCAGCGACAAGAGCGCAATTCTTAAATAGGATAGATAGAAAACTACAGGATGAGTATGGATGCTATTGACAATATTGGGAATGCTGTAAATAAATATTATTTTAATATTTATAGTAGGATATTAGCTTACTTCTAAACATTGTTTTGTCTTCTATTATTGGGTCTATTTTTTTTGCTGGGATAAAAATATCCTATTTTAAAAATTTTCGCAGTTAGTGTAAACAAACATTGTGACCCGGGATTTTTATATAAAATTAAATATATAATAGGTCATACCTATTATTTTACTTACAGGAGTAAAAAATTCTTCACATGTGGTATATATGTCTTCAATTGGAATATTTTGGAATGGACCCATAAACATTCTAAACATTTTATAAGCCGACACAAGCAAGTCATACATTATAGTTGGTTCTATCTGAAAAAAAAAAGTTTGGTTTAACAATTAATTACATCAAAAAGATGCAAACAAAAAAAAGCTTGGTTATATTCAGAGTAATTTAATATGTATGTAAAATTTTAGTATTTTTCACGATTATATTATAGACGTTTCAAATATTTTTAATTAGAAGTGAATAAAGTTATTTAAGTAAAGATTTTAATTTAAAATCTAATGTTTGGCTCATGACTATTACACACATAGCTCGAGCTCCCATCTTTGTCTCCAAGGAAATTACAAACCCTTCACTTAAAAACACGTGGATTATAAAATTAATAATGGAACAAGATATAATAATTTTAGAGTATTATTTCTTTGCTGGGTATAGGTGGATATAGATGGTTTGGGATTGATCCTTATGTCAGATTATCGTGGAGGCCTATTTTCAGCAGTGGACAGTTAATGGTTGATATGATGATTGTTTTTTAGGCAAAATTTGTGAAGTTTATAATGCCTATGAACTTTACAAGTTAACAATACTAATAATTTCTTGTGCTTCAGTTATCATCAATCAGTTATATGTTGCTGGTGAAAGACTTCAGTTAAAAAAATAAATATTAAATGCAACTTACCACTTCACCTCTACTCTCACCAATAGCTGACAATGCCTTTGTTGTATATGGTATTCTGACGACCTGAATAATAAAAATATGTTAATGATTGTACTAATTAAACAATACTATATTAATATACATAATTATCTGAAGGTAAACAATATATATATATACAATATGATGTAACCCATAAACAATGACTCCATTTACAGTGACAATAATAACTCTAAACATTTTTTTACAAATAATTAAAATTTGATATGTTAATAGTCTGTTTAAAGACTATTAACATACATTCTTTGTGGTTTGGTGTTGTGTAGTGGTTATGGTTTTGATGCTTGGCTGTCTTTTTTAGTTTCTATTCATCTTAATCACATCAAATATTATATATGTATTTAACATCTATATAAATAAATATATGATATGTTAAGACTATTTGCTGAATTCATCAAATAGTAAAATGAAATGTATAAAGTGACAAAAATGTTCTTTTTTTTATACAACTTAGAATGGCAAACAAGCTGACGGTCCACCTGATGAAAAGTGGAAACCGTCGCCTATATAAGTATATATAAGTAAATGACTGAATTGAATGTTCAACATGCCTAAGAGAAAGTACACTGAATCTGGCACAGATTGCAAGATAACCATAATTTAATCATGAAAAGATGCAGATAAGTAAAGCTCAAAATAATATAAGAATGTCATTGTCTACTCAACTCATTCTCATACATTCTATTGTTTCATTATTTCTATTGTAAAGTACTTAATGCTATACATATTCTGTAAATAATTAAGTATACAAGTATTTAATTTTAACATTAATATATAGGTATCTGAATTTATTTTCTTTAATTAATTTAATTATTATTTTTGATTTATTTTAGATACTTATTAATTTGTTCAAGAATTAAACCCATTACCCTAGGTTGTTGTTAAAACAGATTACTGACAGCTCTGAGACAAACTCATTGTATTTTTACAAGAACAAGACAAACAATAGATTTGCTTATGTTTTTTTTAGATATGTCTTGCTTTTTAAGATATGTAAAGCTTGAATGTTTATTACCAAAACCATCCAAAAGTTCTTCTCAGGTTGATAGAATATGTACCGGTTTGTTTGTGTCTGGAGAGCATCACAGGGTTCTGATGAGAATGTACTAAAAAAAGAACAATATATAAATGTTGCAGGTAGATTTCACTATATATATATACTATTACACGCTTATTTATATGCTTAATAACAAGAGATGGAAAAAACCTAAGTAAGTAGAATTTGTTTACTTAATTTCCTTCAAGTTCGAGTATTCGAGTAAATAATTAAAAAACTTACGACATAAACTTAACAACAGCTTCACATAATCCAACTTGCATTTTACGGGCATCAGTAGTCACTTGGTTTGGATGAAAAAATAAAATTCTTTTCAATTCCTGTTAACCAAAGTAACATATTTCAACAACATATTTAGGTAGGGTATTATATTTTCAATATATGCACACAGAGATAATCGTCAAGCTTACCTCGCCTTCTTTTGGGCCTAAACTGGAATTAAATATAAAGAATGAACTAATTTTAGTTTTAAAGTCGATCATATTGTAATTTGTATTGTAATCACTATATCAATTAAATGGGTTATATTTATACTGCAAATTATACGGAATGGATAAATCTTATAAATACATTGGGTGATTTTTAAATCAGTTATATATTAGATATTTATGTCTTAAAAGTCAAATTTTTCTATGACAATTAAAATTTTAAGAATATAAATAATCAAATCTAAATAAACATTAATGAATGTCAAAATCACTAATATATGTCAAATGTCATATAAATTTTTTTTAGTACGTTTGTTCCGTTGTGGAACAGGCTAAGGTCGGAGATCATGCTGCCTAATCTCCAATATGATAAATTGTCTTGAATATGTCATATTAATCATCAATGTTAAAAATTTCTTTTTTAATGTATGTTTTATGGCTCTGGATATACATCCTTTTGAACCTGCTTATTTCCGCTTTCTTCTAGTGTTTCTAATTTCTCGATTGGGAGGAGAAATGTTTGTTAGAAATGGGTTTTAACAGCCCCATTGCTAGCAATATATCCTATCAGGTCGACCTCCACGCGGTTTCCCCTGGAAATCCTTGTTGTTAATTTTTGTCGAATTCTTTACAATGGGCCAACTGATCTACTTTTATCGTCATCTTTCATTCGTCACGGGTGCCCCGTCAGCGTATACCATTAGCACAGGCGAGGTTACCATTCCATTTATGCACATCGATTTCCATTTTTACCTACTATTGAACATAAGCACCTACGGACAATCTTCTTACGATTTTACTCCAATAAATTATTAATTTGAGGTCTAATTTACATAATATAAATGGTAACTTTTTAAAGCGTAATCATATTTACTATTGCTATGACAACATATTTTGTTTACGAGTACTGTCATACGTGCAATGCTTGAATTACAGCAAGATTGATTAAGAATTATACATTTGTATTTGTTACTACGTTTTAATTTTGATAATTATGTCGATTCGAAATCCACGGCTACCTCTTTTACCTGGATATGGGTCTAATCCATTGGTAAGTATAATTATAATAATAAGTGCCATACAATCACATCAATGGCTCTTGAGCTGGCTACCCTGTGTTTTTTTTTATGGGTGATAATGGAATGGCAACTCCACCCGCGCTATCGGTATACACTGGCAGGGCACCAGTGAAAAATGATAGTTGAGGATGAAGCAGGTCAGTTAGCCCATCGTGACGAATTCAACAAGAATTGTTCACGATGGTTTCCAGAGGGAACCACGTGGAGGTCGACCTAATAAGGCATATTGCTAGCAATGGGGCTGTTAAACTCCATTGCTAACAAGCCAACAAATCAGGAGCCAGGCCGAAAACTTAGGTAAAATCTGGGTACTCAGCTTAGAACACCCAGAATCGAGACAATTTAGAAAGTTCAGAACAGTTGTTAAAAAATATATTAAATGTTTATTATTAGATATTTGGCAATTTAATAATTTTACTAATGGTGATATGACATAGATATATTAATAAAGGTATTAATCAATATAAAATCATATGTCAATAGTTAGTAAGTAATTAAAATATGATTGAAGTGACTGGGACTTGAAACCGCACCATCAACGCTCGACATGGCATGGGCAGTGCTTTTACCAATTGAGCTGCTGTTTAAATTATTAATCTTTACGCACGATTAATTATAATAGTCACAAAATAGTAAAACACTGTGGCTTCATAATTCGCAATGAGATAATTGAAGATTAATATTTAATCAGGCATTTGGTTATCTAATTGTCATTATAAAAATAATTTTACATATATATGTACCTATAAAATATTCCTATAGAATAAAATTTCTTAATATTAATTAAGTAATAATAAAGGAGGAATTCAAAATTAGCTGGAGGGATCGCATTAGCAATGAGGAGGTCCTGCTTAGGGTTAAGGAAAAACGACAAATTATTAGAACTATTGAGGACAGAAGGGGACAAATGTTAGGACACTTGATACGACGCGACGAACTTATGAACATTATAATAGAAGGTAAGATAGAAGGAAGAAGGGGGAGAGGGAGACCGAGACATAGTTACATCAGGCAGATCAAGGAAGGAGTTGATGTCGTGTCGTATCAAGAGGTGAAGAGACTCGCTGAAAATCGTAGTGAGTGGCAAGAGCTCCACCGACAAGAGCGCAGCTCTTAAATGGATAGATAGATAGAAAGGAGGAATGTTATTATTTTTCGTGTATTATTACCGACTATTATTTTTAGTTTTCGTTATTTATTCTAATGATGGATAAGATTTACGAGTATGTGCTTTTGTTACCGGTATTTCATTAGACATATATGTCTGATACATTTGATTTATTTCAAAATGTAAATTGTGTTTATTAATTTCAGATAGGAAAGAAGAATTTTGGCGTGCGTCCTATATTTACAACTATCGACAAAGTGAACATGTTAGTAGATAAAACCGAGGGTGTGAACAGAGTACCATCTTTATATTGTCGTAAGCAAGCACCCGAGCTTCCAACGTGGATCATATATGATAAGCATGTGGGTTTATTGGCTTTATTTTACTTTTGTAGGATGGATAAATGAGATAACAGTCTTGAAAGTTCTTGTCAGTTAAAGCTATAGATTATATAGATAGAGCATCGAACCTTAAAAACAGGTAAACTTTTTGTCAGCCTATTGTCAAATTAGCTGACTCGTTTTTTTTTTATTAATGTTCTTTAAACTTATGCACACAATGTATCTATATAACAAATATAGATTATATATATATTTAATAAAAAAAAAAAACTTATTTTTTGGATTTCATAAGACAAAAGAAATATAGAAGTTATAAAGGAATCACTCTTAACTATTTATCATGAAAAATTGGATGAAAATGTTGACCCGCTTTTCTCGAAGTAATTGTATGGAGATGCTTTATTTATATAATCTAAGGTTATATATTGTTTACATCACTAATATTATGGAATTATTTTGTATCTGTATACTATAGAATGAATGAATGAGTATACTTTATTTGTATTATACAATATAGGGAAAAAACAACACTATTAATAAAAGGGGGGTAAAGAGGTTATGGTAACCGCTTACCATCAGGTGGGCCGTATGCTTGTTTGCTACTTCAGTGGTATATATATATATATATATATAGGCGGTGTTATTGCTGAGAGCAATACTTTCAAGACAACCTTAAGGTAAAGGACTAATTGTTGTACAAGTAGGTATGATAGGTATTATATTGTAATAGATGATGATAGAATAGTCACTCCGAATGCGCTAATGATATATACTGGCAGGGCACCAGTGAAGAATTAGCAGTGTTAGCCCATCGTGATAAATACACCTGGAATTGAGAACGATGATTTCTAGGGGGGATCGCGGGGAGGTCGATCTGATAGGGTATATTACTAACAAGTTTGGCAGTTCGCATTACTAATAATCCCTTTCCCTCTCGCTGAACATATTAGAATCCAATGTGGCAGTATGACTGACAATGTTTTTGGTGTCGGTTAGGTTCGAACTTACGATCTTTACGATCTGTAATTGCATTAATAGCAGTATATCACTGAGCCGACACGCTGGCGTTATCATGTTCTTTCTGTAATTTTGTAGGTATTTATTATACTTGAGCATTAATATTTTCTATTATTTTCTTAGATATTGCGCTTTCAAGCATTTTTTCAACAAACTCTTCATGAAATGCGATCTGCCTCTCATATATTACGTAAGGTGGATATTTTCTTCTTTCTTGAGGATGGTACGATAAAAGTCATGGAGCCAAAAACTGAAAATAGTGGTTTATCTCAAGGTAATAAAAACAAGTACATTATTATTATTTTTATAATGTTGTGTTAAATCATAACAGTCTTTAAGTGCTCAATTAAAATTTCATTAATGCAATGTTACCAGGAACACTTATAAGCCGTCAAAGAATACATCTACCGTTTAGTTCCGATTTGTACTACGATGTTCTGGATTTGAATATTGGACGTGAAGTTACATTTTTCGGTAAAGTGTTTAAAGTAAGTTTCATTGAAGCATAAAGATCTTTTATATATAAGTAGAGAGGAAAGAATAAGAGGGAAGTAAATATGTATGTTGATCTAGAGTGCTTTTGTTCGGAAGTACGACTATTATATATATATATATATATATATATATATATATATATATATATATATATATATATATATATATATATATATATATATATATATATATATATATATATATATATATATATATATATATATATATCCATCCTTCCATTACGAAGAACAGAGTTCGCTAAGCAGGCTCCCCTATCTCTTGCATTGAAACTACTCAATGATGTTTTGAGCCAGTATCCGCAATTGGATGTATTTGCCTCCAACTTGCTGGAGTTTCGTCGGGTGACCACAGAGTATTTGTGTTCAGACGTTTTTGTTTAAGTCTTTTTATATTATTCTTGTTGTATATATGTAATATTCCTTTTTTTATATGTTGTTGTATTCATGCTTTCCTGGGTGGGCGTATTGGGAGACTGTAAGGCTCACCCAGTGGATGTAATAAATAAATAAATATATATATATATATATATATATATATATATATATATATATATATATATATATTGCTGCAGTTTAGGACACTTGACAAGTCCTTTAGACAAGTGGCAAACGAAATGGGTAATTAAACATAAATATTCCTACGAATAAATTTGTTTTGAACTCTTCTAGAGTCAAATATGTCACTCATGTCTTGCCGATCCTTGTAGCGGATTAGTTACTAATTTATTTTTAAAATAATATTTTGTTTATTAATATATTGTAAATGTTCAATTAATAGATCGTAAACTGCGATAACTTTTCAAGAGTATTCTTAAATCGTCTTGGGATCAACGTCCCTGATCCAATTCCTTGGCCAGATGCTATAGAGGTGAGTTTTTATTTATATGACATTTTTTTTGTTTCATTTCATTGATATATTATAAGTTTTAACAGATGCGTATTGTTGTATTTATGCGTTTTTGTTCTAGAGAACACCTGATTCTGATCGTGTACCAAAGCATAGGCCATTTAGACAGTTTTTGGATTTTGATAGACAAGTCTTGAGGTATTATTTCACATAATTAGTTTAAGTAGTTATATATACCCTAATATAGTAGATACATACCTTCTCATGTATAAAATGTATATAAGTAAGTAGGTAATATTCTTACTAAATTAGAATTTAATTTTGATTTAGGACAGACACATACCTAAATATATATCTATATATATGTAGAAAAATCTTCTTATTGTAATTATTAGAAAGTAATAAGTGTCCAGTATCTTTGTATACAATAATCAGTTTTAATCATATCTAATTTGTAGTCTATATCTTTATCAATCTAAATTATAAATAAGTGTGCTGAAAGATTTTGTAATGCATATACGAGTATATTGTGTTAAACACATCATTGTTAGAAAAAACTTGCCAAAATATAACCAATTTTTTTATTATTTTAGGTTCTATGGTTATTGGGATGATAGGGAATCAGAGTTTGGAGTCGTACATAATCTAGAAATTCATTACTTTTTAGCAGATGACACAATAGAAATTAAAGAAGTGTATCCACCGAATTCAGGTACAGAAGGTGGTCCGATGTTCCTCAAGAGAATGCGGCTGCCCAGAGTAAGATTTATATTATTTTACGAGGTTATAAAATTTTTAGATGATTGATACATTTTATTTTTTTATGAATTTTACTCTATTACAGAACATTCCTGCACAGATTCAAATGACTGGTGGTCCGCCAACTTCATCGTACTCTCCTGGAGATTTAAGTATCGGGGCAGTGCTTAACGTTTTCGGACGCAAGGTTGTTCTGACAGATTGTGATCCCTATACTAAGGAATATTATCGCATTACATATGGGTTTGGTAGGTACAACAATATTAATTATACGTTGAAAATCTTTTTTACCTGCTGTTGTACGCTTTCATTAATCGACATTTCTCTCTATACGTTCTATATGAGAGTATTCTTTTCGATTACGTAAGCAAATAGTTTTAAATATCGGCCGAACTAAAGTTCGCATCTTTTATAGGTACCTAAATTGTTAGAACATCTGAGGTGGTAATATTAAGTTTAATTAAAAAATAAAAATAATTTATTGATATATATATATATATATATATATGACCAGAGGGAGACTTTGTACAAAAGTCGATTGCTTGGGTACCTCTGGCCCATTCGTGTTTCAACCGTGAAGCAGTTGTGTTTGCATGACTGTGTTTCGGTTTGAAGGGTGGGATATGGCGTGAATTTACAGGGTACAGAGGAATAACACCTGAGTCCTCAGGAGTGGCAACGCATGGGGAGTATCATGGGCGAAACAGTATATTCTGTTATGTCCATGGTACTGCTCATGTCTATAGGCAACGGTTACCACTTTCCATCAGGTGGGCCGTCAGCTTGTTTGCCATTCTAAGTTGTATAAAAAAAATGACATTTATTGTTGCTTATGTACCTACGTACTATACGTAAGTACCATAAATTTATTAAATGCTATTAGATGTTGCTAACAATATGTTTATGTTTAGATATTTGTAGTTTGTTTAAACATTTGCTAATAATGATTACTATATATAATTTTATATTATTCTGTTTTATTTTGCCTATGCTTCGTTTATCTGTATAAAAATGTTTACTTTTTAGATGCCTTTACCCCTTTGCCAATTTCACATAATGAAGGTACTGAATGCCTTGGCACTAATATGGCTGAGCGACAACTACCACCATGGAATGGCTACGGGTCGTATGACGACTCGGCAGAGAATTGTCGCACAATAGAACCTAAAGCACCTCATAAGGATTTCATGAAATTTCTTCACAAAGATAGGTAAATGTTTAGATAAATTTTAAGAAAATTGTAAAATATACAAAATAAGATTAATGTATAATATATTTTATTTACCTAATCCAATAGGAAAAAGCTGCGGCTTACAGCAAATTTTTCAAACAAAAATTTTTTTTTTATATTAGCCGATAGGAGGAGTTGCTAGTAGTTGCCATGCTTGGCAGGTGGGTTGGTAATTGCAGTTAGGTTTTAGTGATATTTTAAGAGGGACGCTGCTGCCCATCCCTCGTCCATTAAGACCGCTTAGTCGCCTTTTACGACATCAACAGGAAAGGAAGAATTGGCCCATTTTATGCCGTGACTAACGGCATCATTTGATTATATTATAATAATAATAATAAATATTTATTTGCGTTAAACATGGTATATAGTGATGTTATAGTTATTATATATACATAAATAAACCATATTAAATTAGTCAATTTCATGTTGTCACATAGAATTGAAAGAGACATCAACGAAACAGTTGACAAAGTATCACAAGTGTTTCATAAATTAGAACAATTATTTTTATTGTTATCAAATTATAATTATAGCTTATTTTACATATTTTTAGGGTAGGATTTAATTCCCATACGTTACGGTTTGCGGCCCGTCTTATTAATGATAATCCTGAAGATGCACGACGATATTTTATAATAAAATATTTTCTTTGTGACGATACAATTGGAGTTTTTGAACTTTGCGAACGTAATTCTGGGTTTAAGGTATTATGGATTTTTATTCTTTTCCTGCTTTATTATTCTAGAACAGTACTAAAAATTTTAATTAAAAATAATCTTTTTATAAATGTCTCTTTAATAAGATTTGGATTAACAGGCAAGATACTTATTTTGCTGAAATAAGAATTATATGCAAAAGTTCATATGACCGGAATTAAATAAAACATTTATCAATGTTTTGTTTATTTCCGCTACACCGCCAACACTCAAAGATTACTAACGACCATTTCGTCCAAGCAGGTTTTGTGATATGCGTTTCACCTCTAAACGAGGTATCTACGGGTAAATTAATAAATAAACAAAATACAAACAGATTACTGCTCGGAGTAGTATTAACCGTTTGGCGCCCAAACTGCAAACTTTTTTGACACTTATTTTTCTAAATCATAATTTATTTATACATTTTATAATTATAACAGGGAGGCAAGTTTTTCCGTCGTGATAAGATGTATCTGCCTGGCGTTGAGTTTTTCGTGCCCAAAGAACCGCCTTCCTATACTGATAAAGATATGTGGGTTGGTAATGAGCTGGTGATCAATAAACATCGTTTTAGATTGGTCGCAGCTGATGAGTATGCACTTCGATATATGGAGGTTAATGAGGTAATAATATACAATACAAATAGACATATATTTACCTTCCTACGTGGTTTCTGAGTGCTAATAGAATATGTTTTCTATAATTTAGAATTTTTATAATAATAAATAAATGAAAGTAAAAAAAAAAAATATAAATACATAAGTATTCAATAGTACAGTTAATAAAATATATATTATGAATGCAGTATCCAATGGCAAATGTACCGTTGATTATGGATAAAATTCGACGAACATTGGTGTCTCAGGAAAATGGTTATAAAAATTTTGTAGCGAAATATATGGAAGCGGTATTGCCATATCAGAAGGAACTAATGCCTGTAAGATGTTTCAAGTAAGTAGATTTAGTATCTAACACTACTGTATTGAAAAATAAAATAAACTTGCCCCAGCTAAGTGTTTTTTCTCTTTTCCTCTTTCATTATTTTGTGTCATTAATGACTATCATTAAACAAAATGTCTTTTATGAATGAATAAAAATAATAAAAAATGAATGTATTTAACAGGCAAGCACTTAAAGAAATTATGTGCGAAAAGATGACGGAACATGAATTTCTGACTATAATACGACATTTTCGTGGTGATCTTGGTAAAGAAAGAAGTCCTCGGAGGGAAATGATTAGGTAGGTAAATATGTCAACAATATTTTGTGTCGTATACAAGATTTTTTTTAATAATTTTTATTTAGAGGATTTTATCCTATAAGGATATGTTAGCTACCTCATAACCTAAGTTTAATTACTTATTTCACATACTAACATAGAGGGAATTATTGATACAATATTACAGAAATTAAAGTTTTTGCTGTTTCGGAATGTGGATCTGCGAGCATATTAAAAAATAATCTAATATCTTGTTTATTTAAACTATATTTCTGTATCAATTTTTTTTTCTGTTTTTACATCCAGATCATATGTTGAACATCATCCAAAGTAGCTATATCACAATTTAAGTTATTAACTTTTTTCATAATAAAAATTTAAATGTCTATCTAAAGTAGTTTAAAAGAGTTTTTGTAATTGCGAAGTATTTTTCTAAACTATTGTAGGTCTTTGGTATTTACGGAATTGACGCGTGGATTATGGGATGACCGAGAACGACTGTGCGAGGGTCTGAAGCATGCTGATGAAGCGGGCTGTGGAGTGCTGCCAGTGCATCGCTTGAGACAATTGCTGCGTGCTCACCGTCTACCACTTAACGTTGATCTAATGGACTGCATGCTACAAGTGTAAATATATTTTATATGTTGTGTATTAGTCCTAAAACTATATCATATTTTGTTATTATTAGGTACTTGTAAGCCAGATGCAGGGTACAGAGGAATAACACCTGAGTCCTCAGGAATAGCAACGCATGGAGGGTAACATGGGCGAAACTGTATACTCTTTTATGTCCATGGTTCTGCTCGTCTATAGGCGACGGTTACCACTTTCCATCAAGTGGGCCATCAGCTTGTTGATCATTCTAAGTGGTATAAAAAAACTTGAGAGTCCATAGAGATAAATAACAAAACAATATTAACTCCTAGAAGATTATTAATATTATTTCATTACAGGCTACAAAAGGATGAAAACTGCAATATCTTATGCGATGATTTGATGTCATTTCTTGATTTCCAAACACGCCCCGTATTCAACCTGACTGAAGATGATTATCAGAAGGTAGTTAGGCATGCGCCACCAGTTAAAGATACAGAGGTTTGTACAAACAAAAAGATAAAAATACTTATCCTTACATCTTTTATTAATGTATTTTATTATTTTCTATTAAAAAAATAATATATATTTTCCGTGTGGTCCCGGCATAAAATGGGCTACTCCATCCTGTCCAGTAGGTATCCGTATCAGTAATTATTAAGTTCCCTTAGTCGTCTCTTACGACACCCATGGTAATGGAAGAAGTGGCCTTTCTATGCTGGAAGCACGTGGCCCTAACGATTATATATTCTTAATGAACTTTTAAGCTTGCAATAGTTTTGGATATTATTAAGTGAACAACTATTTAGTTTTTTATATTGTTGTGATTGGTTGTACGATCCAGAATACTGTATGTCTACATACATACACGAATTTCATATAAATTGGTGTAATTTATCCGTTTTGTGTTTAGGTAAATTTAAATTTACTTGTTATATGATAATGCTGGGTAACTTCTATATAATATAGCCTAAAAATTTAAAATCCCAAATTACTACTCACTTGCTGTGGCTCCATTTCCTCGGTCCTTAATATTTTTTAATAATATGAATCATAAAGTCTGCTTTATTAAAACCATATTATTGTTATACAGTGCAAGTTGTGGGCAGAGGCGGAGACCCTGATTCATGAGGGTTTCGTCAACTGGAACGCATTCCTCTGTCAACTGAATCTGGAGCATCTCGTGAAGGATGAATCATAGCTGTTCTGTACTCCTTTTCATTAAAGTGAGCGAAATATTGTTCAAATAGATGATGCTAAAATTATGGAGTTACCTACAATGTGTTCACTTTTATAATGCTCGTATTTGATATTAATTATTTGTATTTGGAAATTTTTACATGTAAAAATAATGACGCCGTAAAGGTTTCAATTTATATATTTTTAGCAATCACAATAAATACAATTGAATAATTTTTTTCGATAGTCTCACTTTTATATTACGCTAAATGAAATGTCAGAGGTACAATACACATTCACTGTTGCAAATACATCTTCACAACATTGAAAATGACCTGTGATGTTAAATTTAATTTTGCCGGGGCACACGGCAGATAGTCTGATTCGAAGTTGCATGGCGCGTGTTGTATGGGTAGGTATCGTCATACTCGTAAAATACTGACGGATCTGACAAAGATTACATATATATATCTGTCAGTATTCTACGACTATGACGATATTATTTCATAATTATATAAAGTCATTCATATTTATTTTGCCACACGCGTCAACGGAAGTGCATTCCTGTGTTCATCACAATCCGTATTTCATGAGCTCCATTTTTTAATGTGAATTAAATCACATTATATTAATTATAACATTTTAATAATATCACATTTCACTCGTACATGCAACAACAGCATCGAAATATTACAAAATAAATAACTTAAAATTATCCTATAAATCCTAAATGACTTCGTTCTAGTAGTTAATATGTAGGTATTTGACAGTATCGTCAGTAAACAATATTTATACAATATTATGTCATAATTATAAATTTGGAACTAGGCATTGAGCGTCGCATCACATTATTAAAAGAAATTAAATTTTAGTATGTTCACATAGCAGAACTAGTGAACTAGCATACAATAAAGTAGCACTGGTTTACGCATTTACGTAGTTGATTGCAGAGTTAATAATGAATAGCAATTAAGTATAGTCACAGATTAAATACAAAAACCGAACAATTCTATTGGTACGAGTTTGTATTTATTAGCACGAGAATTCTGTTGAACTGAACGCAAAAAAACAATTTGGTTTTCAAACTTGGCATATTTAGTAAATAATTAAAATTAGTAAATAGTTGGAATAAAAATTTATTGAATATTATGTAATGTTATTTTTTAATGTCTTATTTTCAAATAAACTAATTTCATTCAACTTCTTCTAAGATTGGTAACTAAATATTCCAAGTATGAAAGAAATCATAGGATTTTTTTTATATTTCTCCGGTACAGGTATTAAATATGATTATATGTATATTTTAAATTCGTAAATGCAATATAGAAATGAAAAGTAATGATTTTACTAAATTATTCCTAAGGAATACATTGTAATAAAAAACATAAATACAACTAGCTCTGATCCTATATACTTGATAATGTTATATACTACTCGGTAGAAAATATGCAATTATATAGTTCTAGGTAAAACGTATCCACATTTGATGCTGTAATATATAGTTATACTTTGTTTTGTTTCGATTATGTATAATATCACATGGCACAAAGTATTCACTTATGTGTCGATGTATCGTAAGTCACCAATCCTTTATTTATATATTGGCTAAAAATTACAATAATTATAAACGAGGTACATAAAGTGATTTCTACTATTCTATAGAGATTATGATTTATGACACTGGATGCATTCGTATGATTATAATTTAGAAAATTAACTACTAATTTACATATTTACAATTTTTTTTTCAATTACATAGATATCTAATAAAATTAACTGAAACCAAAGTAGTTATTATATATATATTTTTTTCATGTATTTGGTTTCCGAGTCAATTCTATACACCAAATAATATGAAGAAATTTGGACAGTTCATTGTGGAGATCAGTAATTTTATTGTTCCTTAACACCTGGCACTACTTGCTTCAATTTTTAATAAGTTATAATATTATAAATATCACTTTCTCTTTACCACATATCCTTTACTCTCTCTGTAGCTGGTATTTGAGGTCGTAACCTGAAATAAATATAATCAAATGAATGTTTGAAAAAACATACTGCGTAACAGCCGTTCATTTCAGTTCTGTCGTGACTACAACTTGATACAAACCACTTCGAAATGACGGTAATAAAAATCGGATATGTAGGTACTATTTACCTGCAGCTGCGTCGCGTTTTTTTTTAATTTTTTTAATGGATGATAATGAAATGGTAACCCCGCCTGCGCCAATGTTGTACATTGGCGAGGCACCAGTGAGGGATGATAGGTGAGAATGAAAAGGCAGGTCAGTTAGCCCATTGTGATGAACACACCTGGAATTCAGGATGATGGTTTTCAGGGGGAGCCGTGTGGAGGTCGTATTTTGCTAGCAATAGGACTGGAAGTCCGCATTACTAACAACCCCTTCCCCCCGTTGTATCGCGTTCGGTCTTGATAGTCTATTAAAATTATGTCTCAACAATGCGAATGTTTAAAATTAACTACAAATATATAAATTTGTAAATCATCATTGATAATGTTATTCTTTTAATTTATTTATATGGTCCAGAACATCCTATTAATAGATGGATGTTTGTTACACTATCACTCAAAAACTATTGAATAGATTTGAAAGAAATTTTATGCATATGTAGGTCCTAGCACACAGAATTCTTTATGTGCTTAGTAATTCACGCGGGGAAAATAACATCCGAGTTCTTAGGAATGGCAACGCAATATAGTCTGTTATGTCAATGGTACTGCTCATGTCTATAGGTGACGGTTACCATTTTTCGTTAGGTGGGCCGTCAGCTTGTTTGCCATTCTAAGTTGTATAAAAAAAAAAAAACTAGTCAGAAATTACGAGTATTTTAAATATAATATAATACGGCTCTTAGCCGTTTTCAGGAGATTATAAGCCGCGAGTATTAAAATTTTGTGTTTACTTTAAATTAGACGATTGGATGGACAGCGAATGACATTAAACACTATTTAAACAGTAAAATTATTATGTTCACTTTGTACTTACACAGTAAAGATTGATAAACGTAAAGAACGGAATAATATAGAAGCGTTAGAATTATTAGTGTTCATAGTACCATTGTAACGTAGCGTTTTAGATTATATAGATACAGTGTCTCCATACAAATGCTTCGAGAAAAGCGGGTCAACTTTTTCATATTATTTATCACGCAAAATTGAATGATAAATAGTTATGAGTGATTATAACATCTATATTTATTTTGTCTTATAAATTCTACATCTTTTTAATGCGCAAAAATTAATTTTATTTATTAATTAATAAATATAGATACGTCAAGATACATTGTGTACGTAAATATATAGAACGTTAAAAGAAAAACAAGTCGGCTAATTTGACAATTAGCTGACAAAAAGTTGGTCTGTTTTTGAGGCTCGATGCTCTATCTATATAATCTAAACGTAGCGTGTATTTAATATTAATATATATAGACACGCGGCAGCATATTCAGCCAAGTTCAATGTAATATATATTATACTAACCTGTGAGGTGGAATATTAGCCGATGTTCCAGTGGGGCTAGTTCCTAGAGGTGACATTTTTATGCCAGAGTTGTTGCCGTTTATACTCGAACCCAAACTCGATGCGGAGTCCACTCTGTATGGGCAAATGACAATTGTCTAAGATTATATTTCAAATGAAAATTTTACATTACGTATTTTGTTATATGTAAGTTCAGGATATATTGAGCATTTTTTGTCGTATAAGTGTTATATGGATTTTATACAGTAAAAATATGTGTTTACATAGAAACACATTCTCAACCAACAATCATCAAGTAAGTTTTACAATAAAATTCACGAATGCATTTATTTAGAGAATAACAATATATCTTTTTATTATAAATAATTATTAAATTCTATTTGGATATTTCTACACGTTCTGGGGAAACCTTGTTTGATATTTTCGTATAAGGAATATTATAGATAGCATATACAATAACCAGTCAGCACCTGTCTATCTGTCGTCTAAACAGTGGATATCTCCACGGTGAGTTGGGTTTCCGCTGTTCGTGTTGGAACGCGGGGTTGTCGCGGCCGCGCGGCTCGTTTCCCGCCGCCGGGGACGCTGCCTCTGGGTCCCGGGTTTTTGAAGATAATCTCCTATAAAATGATACGAATTCCATTAAAAATGAATACCTCTATAAATTAAAAATGAATAGCACGCGTAATACCTCTGGTATTGCAGGTGTTCATAGGTTACGGTAACCACTTACCATCAGTTGGGCCGTATGCTTGTTTGCCACCTCAGTGGTATAAAAAAAAAACGATAAAAAAATTAAAGCATCTCATAATATTTCTTTTTTTACAAAGTCTTACTACTCTATGTCATCATTTTTAACTTTAAATAGTTATAAGTCAAAGAAAGTGATTAATTTTTTAAATTGTAATATAAATATACCTTAGTATTCTAGACGGAAGCGAATTTTGTGTCTGTGGTCGCGCCCTCTGCCGGCTGTCGACGATCAGCACATGTCTGTCATATGGGGTGTCATAATCCACTTCGAGCACCGTGGAGAAACGGTGCGGCCACATTAAATCGAGCGCTGCGATTAGCAGGCCAACTACTATACAAATGCATCCTGAAAAATATTATGTGTAATATACATATCTTACTAATAATAAAAGAAAATTGCGACTAAACGGTGTCTGTATACGGGAAATGTTTAAAAAAAATATATGACGAGTATTAATAAGACTAATAGAAGCTAAAACGATTACTTTTAGAAATATTGTCTGATTTTCTGTCTGGCAAAAATTACTGCACCAAATTAGATGTAGTTTTTATAGTTGCATTCTAAAGGTGATGTATATTTTATCTTGATATGCCATCTAGAAGTAGTCTATTCAATTGGTTATTCTATTTCTGAAATATACGCGCGTGAAGTAGCGGGCAAAAAGCTAATTATAATATTTTATACCAGAAAAAGACTTTGTACAAAAGTCGTTTGCTTGGGTACCTCTGTCTCATTCATGTTTAATATGTGTAAGACAGTGAAATTACAGGGTACAGTGGTATAACACCTTAGGTCTCAGGAATGGCAACGTATTGGGGGTATTATGGGCGAAACTATACTTTGTTATGTCCATGGATACTGTTCATAGGCGACAGTTACCACTTTCCATCAGGTGAGTCGACAGTTTGTTTGTCGTTCTAAGTTGTATAAAAAAAGTATAAGCTAACCTGCTAAACGTTGTTTTGCCTCCCCTATCGCTACCTACCGAGTTCATTCTTCTTATTGGAATAATAACTATTCTATTTTCAAGTTGGAGCAAATAAATAATGAACTTTCATGAAAATTAACTAATTTATTTTATCTCTTTTTACTGTGTATGTCTGTATTATATGTATGTTTGTATCATACTTGTGTGCTGTAAGTAATGCAAATAAATTAATCAAATAAATCTTATTTGAGGTAATTGAAGCGGTTTCAGGGATTACTATAAACAAGTATTGTGTGACATGGGATTTTTATTATATTATATCTCGTATATTATGATGAGTACTAGAAAGTTGACGTTAGGTAAGTATCAAGTCGTAAAACTGTTCTACTAATTTTGCCGTGAAACAATCACGTTTACATGGCTGTGTTTCGGTTTGAAGAGTTATGGAAGTGAAATTGCAGGGTTCGGAGGCATAAAATTTTAATTTTTAGGCCTCATGCATTGCCATTTCTACTGCTGGGTGGCATGGGCATCTCCGTGCACTCTGTGATATCTACGGTATATCAGACAAATATTGTTTGTTGCTTGGCTGTGTGATCCTGGCATAGAATAGGTTACCCCTTCTTAATCTGTGGTTGTCGTAGGAGCCGACTAAGGGAGGGCGAGGGATGGGCAGCAGCATCCCTGTTAAAACATCTCTAATACCTGATTGTGGTTGGTAATCCGTCTGCCTAGCATGGCATCTACTAGCAAAAGCTCCCAAGGGGAGGCTTATGTTCAGCAGTGGACAGTTAAAGGCTGATATGATGATGATAATGGTTGTCGGTTGTACAGTAAAGTCTTAAATTATAGGGTATATATAGAGTTTCTAAGAATAAAATGGGTACAATGGTGGACTTTTCATAAAAGGGATTTCCTTCAGTCAACCTTTGCCTGTCTGATAGAAATTGTAAATTGGTGGAGACAAAAAAATAAAAGCTAATTAAAAAAGATTGCGTCCCATAAAAAAAAAAATCAACTTCAATTGTGACAAAATCAGTTATTTTGGTGTGAAAAATAAACTACCGATTTTGATAAAATTTCTATGGGACTAATTTATATATATAACTGACCGAGTTAGTAAAAAATATAAACGAATTGAGAACCTCCTTTTTGAAGCCGATTGAAAATAAGAAAATAATAGGAGTTACTAATAATAATGTTTGTAACTCTAGTCGAGTAATAACAAAAAAAAAAAAATATTCCATGTTACGAAATGCACATTAAGCAAAAAGTTTAGCATCATGGCTTATTAGTGAACACGAGTACCTGATATGAGGACTAGCCAGAAGCACCAGCCGAGGGAGAAGAACAGCATGGCCCCGTCGAGCCTGACTATCAACGGAGCAGTGGGCAGAGAGGCCCAGTAGCCGCCGGCGGCGGCGCATAGCGTCACGCCGACCGTCGCCATGGCATACGCGCCATAACGTGGCACCACCACCAACAGGAGGTTCATTAGAAGCCATAGTGCTAGTGCTGTCCTATAATGTTAGGATTTTTGCTAAAATATTGATTTAGGCAAATAGTATACATATTAATACAATCAAAGACAGTACAATTGTTAAGATTACAATAAAATATATGCCTTAATTACAGGTAGGTAAGTACAAAATTCGCCATTTTATTTAGATAGAAAATTAAGTGAAAAATCAAACGCACATTAAGCTTTCGAGTAAATAATACATGATCTATGTATCTAAATATACGATATTTCAAGATTCCTAATCGGGTTTTATATAAATAGGTAATTTGTTTTATATATTATATAATAGTATTATAATATTCAAATAGCATAGTCATGTATCCAAATGAATTTTTTTTCTTCACTTTTTTTAAGGTATTTGGATTACTCATAATTTGCTTATAATGAAACGGAATCAAAAGTAATGTATATAATTATGTTTTTAAATTTATCGCTTTATCATTAGATGACGTGACGCGTGCCTGTAATGATATACAAGTCTCATAATCACACTTTGATACAATACGAGTACATGATAACAACGTTATGTAGTTTAATAATAACTACAACGATTTTACAGAGTCCGTACCATAATAAAGTAGAAGTGGTGTATCCTGCTGCGCGGTACTTTGCTCCCCATTCAAAACCCTCGTGCTGTACTGCGAAGTGTTCAGCTACGGACAGCACCGGATATGGTAGTCCTCGCACTAGCCCTGCTCTGTACCACTCTTGAATTGCTCCAGCTTCCTCCCAGCGAAACTGCTCGTTGTAGTCCACACCCGGATCACCGACTGTTGTATTGCCCCACGATAATGCTGAAATGTTAGAAATACCATGACTGGTACGGATATGGTAGCTCGTTCTAAAATCAAATTATATTTTAATTATAGGTAATCACACTATATTAGTGAGTAAATTAATTAATCGATGAATTCTAAATAGACTTTGAAACTATTAGTAACTTAATTTTGAAGATACTTTTTTTTTCATAACATAAAAGTTGATCCAAATCTTTATTATAAACGTATATTTTTTGAAAATGAGCCCATTATAAGAATCATATAATGTCTTAACAGTGCTTTATTGTAATATACTATTTATATCAACAAGTCATATGATTTTCAAAACTAAATAATATAATTAATATGCAACTGTATATCTATACTAATATTATATGTAGAAGAACAATTTGATTGTTTGTTTGTAATGGATAAACTCAAACACTAGTCAATTGATTTTAAAAATTCTTTCCCCTAAAGAAAGCTACATTTATCAGCGAGTAACATAGGTTATGTATTATTTTTCGTAAATTCTGTCCACTCGCCGGGCTGGTTCGTTTGTATATTATACAATTCAAGAGGCAATAATGATAGGCATCTCTATACATATATGATAAGTATGATAGGACTTAAGACTACAGGTAGAACATATGTAACTAGTAAGCTGTGTCCGTGATTTCATTCACGTGACGGACTTGGTCCTATTATCAATTATTAATATTATAAATGTGAAACATTATAAGGGCGTATAAATGGCCATCCATTTATTTATCCATCTATCCTTATAATTTTGATTGTTACTCTTTCATGCAAAAAATACTAGACATATCTGAATGCTTGCTACAGAAGTTTAATTTAGTATATAGGGGGGGGGGGGGAAGAAATTGTTAGGTTAGTCCCCATTACTATCATAATACCCTATTAAATCGACCTCCACGTGATTCCTCCTGGAAACCATTGTGACTGCTGATTGTATTGCTGAATTCGTCACGACGGGCTAAGTGACCTGCTTTTTCATCCTCACCAATCATTCACTGGTGCATTGCTAGTGTATACCGATAGCGCAGGCGGGGTTATTATTCCATTATCATCCATTAAAAAACTTAGTACATAAGATACTTTATAGATTGATTCATGCGGGCAAAGCCGCGGAATACAGTCAGTATAAAATAAAATGCTATTTGAATGTTTTCTTTGTGTATTTGTATAGACTAACAAATTAGAATCCAGTACGAAGCAGTGCTTTTGCATATTTTTAGCAGTATTACCATTATTATTGCAACATTTTAACTTAACACAATTCTATACACGATGTTTTTGGTGTTGCCCTCTTTGGCAAGGACGTATTAATTCTGTGGGCTGGATACGAATACTTACTTACATATCTCCATATATCGCTCATGAGAAAAACATTAATGAATGAACGGAAAAGGGTGAAAATTCCTTATTCTTTTAGAAAAAGATACAGTGATTTATTTAAAGCGAACCTGCTAATGTTTGTTTGCTTATTCAAAAATCATTTTGTAATTAATGGGGAAAATATTAAAATTGGTTTAAAATTTTAAATAATACATTGTTCGTGTCTTTTTAGAGGATATATTTCTATAACAAAAATAATAAATTTTGTTCAGTCAACAAGGCCCTGGGATTCACAGCAATTTGGCTGAGAGACTAATAGAGTTACAAAGAAAATCATTATTACATAAAAGGATCTCAAAAAAGATAGTAATGACTTTTGGCAAAGTTTAAGAGCTGTGTCTAACAGTGCACATAGCAGTGTTAGGAAATAAAAGAATAAATCTTATTTTAGTTTAGAATAGAATATTAGGTTTGGTTAGTAGTTAGACGAGACAAGATTTATCAATAGGGTGATCCATTTATATAATATATTTATGGTATTTATACTATTTGTTACCCGTCGTTTCGCTTGTGTACTGTTATTGTAATTAACCCAGGGGTGTAGCCCCTTAAAAATTGCATATGTACTTTCAGACATGTCTGCGAATATTCGCTCGCATTCTGATGTGGGCAATAGACGATTCTGGGGTAGCCATGGCCCACCTGTCTACCCTTTAAATACGCCTATGACCCATGGGAATATATTGTTTGATCTGGATATCAAATATTAAACTTCGACAATAATGACCATAATGAGGTAACAATATTAAAATATATTTTATATTTATAATAAGTATATAGAAATTTTTATTAAATAACATACCAGTGAGGGTTACATTGACATGTCCAAGACCCACATGCACGGCGAGCCAACAGTCAAGTCTTTCAGCGGAGAAGGCACGGTAAGCGGCACGGGAAATTCGCGAGCCAGTTACGTGCCACGATGATCCGTGCTTGCACACTGCAACATAATGACAACTACAAAATATATCACCGTTCTAAGAAAGTAACGCGAATGCTTTAACATGTGTTATCTTGATTTATACAGTAAGTAGATCTTCTTGGAAATGTTACTGTGTCAACATCACTCGGTGTCATACAAGCTAACGATTTGAGAGCGAATGAAAAATGAAATGACTGTTGTATTAATTGGGGGCTTCAGCGGGTCCCAGGTAACTGATGATTCTTAAATAAAGATTTTACTGTTATATATTATATTTTTACAGGTAGATTCAGTTATAATAATAAATCGCAATGGTTTGCCAGTGTTAGAAAAATCATAACATGTGTAGCACATCTCTACCTGAGGTGCCTCTTAATTTAAAGACTTGGGATTTCCGATGAGACAGCGACATTGCCATTACTTAAAATATGAATATAGTTGTGTTGGGTTGCCAACAACATAACGCCGTTATACCTAGTGTTACATTAAAATGTGAAGTCACGGAACTGGTCATCTAATATAATAATATAATCGTGCACCATCACCATCTTGTCATAAACTGCAATAATAGAATGGAATTTATGTTATAATTTAGAAACATATGGAACTCCGCTATTCTTATTAATTTATTATTCATTCTTAAGAACCTTGATCTGTTTTGCATGCAAATAGCCCACGCTACTGATAGCTGATTCACAGATCGTTCGCTAAGCATATATTATGCACCTATTTTTGTTTAGAAAGAGAGACATTTATAACTTTATTTTTCCATAGATATTTTTTTGTACTTTTCTTTGAATATATTTTGCATAAAAAGTTCAATATTGTTCTGGACTCTAGGCAAACCATAAGTATATGAAATTAGTAGTCACCACCTGTGCTATCTACATCCATACGATTTTTAATTACTCTCATTTCTGATGGGAATTCCTGGAAATATTTTCTTAGTGCATAAAAAAGGATTTATAATTCGAAAGTTTCAAACTTCAGTGGTTTTAACTGTATGTTAGTCAGTTACTGATAAAGTTTTTTTTTTTATTTAAATTTTAAAATTATTAATAAATGTAATCAGTTGAGATACGATGTTATACTTTCGAATTGGACGATATGCAGAACAAGATTGTATTTGAGATCATTTGACACACGAAATATCGCGGTCAATGGCAAAATGCAAGCTGTTGGTTTCTCTACTTGGGCGGTCACCCGAAGACAATGCACAATTCTCATTACAAAAAAATTAACAAGTTTCTACAAATGCTTAACGGTCATCTAATTACTAATTTGTTGCATTGTGGATAAAAATGTGTATGAATATTTATATTATCGTGTTAATTAGGATTATTTCTTAAATAGACAAAAGCAATGGAAATAGTTACGCAGTTAGATGTATTAAAACATTCTCTTAAAGAAATAATTGCAAAACTATTAGGTTTGTGTCCATGATTTATTACAGTTGGTAGTAGACAAGATGAAGATAAATGATGAACATTAGCAGTATCAAAAGATGTGTTTAAGTTAATAATAGGTATTTAATTATCCAAGACTGGATTATGAAGAGGCCGAATGAGAGAAGCAGTGAACGTTAATATGGCGTTTATAAGTGAGAAATCATTAAGATACGTACACCTACTTTAAGTCGTGATGTTATTTGTATGGTAATGTAATAAAAATATCTATACAATCATCAATCTGGTTTACAAGGTCCGTTAAGCGCAATATTGTAAGTTATGAATAATGAATACAAATAAAAATACAGAACAAATTGTTAGCAGGTCGTTAAATATTATTATTAGGTCATATTAGGTCTATTTCTTTTCAGATTGAAAGTAGTTTGATCGATATTTTTGGGCCTGAAATATAATAGTCTTATTTGGTTACTTATAATAATTTTTAAGCGGTTTTTAATGCATAAAAACGGATTGGTAGTTCATCTGCGATATCGGTATACGCTGCCAGGTCACCAGCTACAGACCACCTAGTAAAGCCTGTCTACCTATCAGGGCCTTTAAGCTTCATGTAACGCCAAAGTTCTGAACACAAATATACAGGTAATATGTTACATAGACAAAATCATTACACTTGTTTCCTAAGCAGTCGGGTAAAAAAATTTAAAAGCCAATTGATGAAATGAATTATTAAAATATTTGGCCTTAATTCAACGTGGGAGTATGTAATATAATATATGATAATGAGTAGATATAAAATATTGAAATATTACAATTTTTACGTATATCTAATATAATATAATAAACATAATAGTATATCATTCTGAGAAAAATATAATGATTATAATTTCATCGTTCAAAATAACTATAATAATGTACGTAGGTACTTACTTTATATACAACACGACAAAAGTGGCCACCATGGTGGTGTGTATAGCACGTATTCTTATCTGTTTCCATTCTTGAAGAATAAAGTATTATACATGAAGGGTAGAGGTAACGATAATCATCTCTATATATGAAAAAGTGTCCTTCAAAAGGTGTTAAATTAGAGTGGTGCAACAATAACAGGCGGGTGGTATTGTAGGAAAAAAATTTAAAACAAAAACCTAACACAGAATAATATAATATGATTAATGTTATGTTAAATATTTTTGTCAAACTTTAGATTATGCATTAAATAGTAAATAAAGTAAGCATGGGTAGTGTTGGCATAGCTTCGATAACTATATATTGAGTTCTTCTATAAAAAATGTCATCATCCATACCGGTTAGTTATCTATATCCATTTTGATCGGGTTTTTATTTCGATATCTTGGATAATCGATATTTAATATATTCGATATTGGGCCAATATATAGATAGATATTGTATCTACAATATATAGATATTTCTACATGTTACCCACCTCTAAAATAAAGATTTAAATTTTCTAATTCAACGCCTCAGCGCACTTCACTCAGTCAATAACGGCTAAATTCATGTAATACCCTCTCGCTATTCGAGCGCCGTTCTGGCGGAATTTGGAATTGTTATTTATATTTACAGCTTACAACTGGACATTTTTGTTACTCTTTATGAGATAGTTCCTCTTACTTCTACCTTCTATAGTGTTATGTTTTTGTATGTACCATGTATTTTCACTACTACCCTTCAAACAGAAACAGAATTATGCAGTTGTGTAACAGATGTAACAGAAATACTAGTGATATGCTTAGGTACTTTACACAGACAACTTTTTACAAAGTTTTTTTCTATATGATAAAATATTAATATCTCTTGAATTGCACTAAATGATATAAAATAATATTTTCATGATCATTAGCTATAACGGTAATCGGATTGCAGCGTGTTGACCCGAAATGTTCTTTTTATATTATAAATTTGTTGTTATGCTGTTTTTGAAATGGTCGTTTGCATTCACACAAAACTGTGAATAATTATCCGTCAGCTACAAAAAGGAGGGTAATGTTCTTCTGTAGCACTGCGATCATCGAGATCTATTAGGACTGGGTGTATGTACGTTATGTCTGAATCTTTGGCGCAATGTGTAGTCTAAACAAATCGTTTTTGTGATTAGTAAATAGGTTTTTATTAAATTATTTTTAATTGTAGGAGTGCTATAACGTATACAATATTAGTTTTAATAAATTTGAACTTTTGTATAATGCGAGATATGCTTATTGCGTGTCTAGTGTGAATGCAAGCTTTGTCTATTAGTGGGATTTGTCTATCAACTCTAATGGGCTGTTATGGTGATGATGATGAAAAATGCCTCTAGTAATTATTTGTATGTTATTTAGATTAGTTATATCGGATTGTTACATGAAGGTAATAATAATTATAGGACCGTATTACGATTATATAGATCAATCTATTACTTATTAATAAAGTCATTAAAATGCTTTTAATATCCATAAAGAATTATATCTTGCATATCTTAGGAAAAATTTAATCGTGACATCAGTTTTAATTTTTACCTTGTACTCATGAATATATTATAAGATTTATAAATATATTAGAGTTTATAAGATAAAAAATTATGGTCTACGCAGTATGACATTTCATATTAATGTAATTTAACTATTGGTATGAGAATAGTAAATCCGTATGTTAATATTTTATAAATTAAGTGTTAAGAATATTTATGAATGGAATAAATAAAAAATTATGCTCACCCAATATGACTGTGCCCACGAAGAGACTAAGTGTGACTATTGTGAATGTGGTGAACCTCTGTAACAAAATTATATTATTTACATTTAATGATCTGAAAATAATTTGGTTTATTTTACGATACCAATATTTAGATGTAGTAGTTTTTTTTATATAACTTAGAATGGCAAACAAGCTGACGGCCCACCTGATGGAAAGTGGTAATCGTCGCCTATAGACATGCTATAGAGATGCTTTCTCCCACGAACACTCAGGTTATGGAATGAGCTCCCTGCCGAGGTTTTCCCGAGAGACTACAGCATGGGGTTCTTCAAAAGGGGGTAAAGAGGTTTCTTCAGGGTCGGCAACGCGCGCGTAATACCTCTGGTATTGCAGGCGTTCATAGGCTACGGTAACCGCTTACCATCAGGTGGGCCGTATGCTTGTTTGCCACCTCAGTGGTATAAAAAAAAAAAAAAAACATGAGCAGTGCCATGGACATAACAGAGTATACTGTTTCGCCCATGATACCCCCCATGCGTTGCCATTCCTGAGGACTCAGCTGTTATTCCTCTGTACCCTATAAATTCACGCCATATCCTACCCTTCAAACCGAAACACAGCAATGCACACACAACTGCTTTACGGTTGAAACGCACAGTAATTAACAACTACAATGTTACAGTAGTTTTTTACTTATTCTTAAAAATTAATTTTTAAATACATATTAACCGTGACATACATAGAAAGACGTGAGTATAAAAACGTTTATGTATTTTTCATAATCTTCTTCGTATGTAGGAGGTATTAGAGCAAAGTTATGCAAATTGTTTGCTCGATTGAGAGTCATGGGTCACTGGAGCGATTTGTGCTTATGATAACATTGAACATTTACCAACATTCGATTCATGGAATTCTATTGTTATAGATAGGTAGGTATATCGTATAAAAGCTAATAGAGAAAATTAAACGTAGATCACAATAATAACCTCATCCGTACAAATGTAAATTTCCAAAACCAAGTAAGTTACTAGAATTAATTATTTAATTGAATTTGTTTTATAATTTTTCCTATACATCATATAAAGATATAATTTTTTACTACTGACCGGGTTACGATTCTTTTCCCATCATAAATTAAATAAATAATAGCTCTGATGGATATATTTCAATCTTATGGCTCCACAAACACCTGTTCGGCTTTCTAGAATACAGCGAACCTCTTTCTGATTATCGGTAGAACAAATAAGGTATTTACGGTATTAGTATTTAATTAAAAAATAAGTACAAAATAGGAATAGATAAATGTTATTTCTATTATTTAGTCAATTTAATGCAATGGGTGTGCTTTTTTTAATGCAAATGATATCAATTGTTGGATAAATTTTGCTCAATTTTAAATCAGATTCAGCACTTAGTCAGTTCCTATATTTCGTCTTGGTTAGGTACATTCTTACATAAGTAAATTGTCAGGAAAGGCAAAAGGAATTTCATCACTTTACGTGAAAGTTTCGGATATTCGTTTTGTCTTGCTACACAAACATCGAGAAAAAACATCTTTTTAAAATCAACTTCATGAGTTTGATCTGTAGACAATTCCATCAGTTTGTCATGCTTGTTATCGATACTAATCAACTAAGTTGCGGCCATTATGTAAATTTTGTCGATGATGACATGTCCTATGTTTAACTGGTGTATCCCAAGCGACACGTGTATTTCACTTTGAGATACACTGTAGTCAAAATGAACAAATCTTAAACTAAACTATCTCATACTAAGCGTATGTTCATAATCTGTATATGTTATGAACTGATAAACTTGTATAAATATTTTTTTTATTAATTTATGCATATTATACATTTAAAATTAATACAAATAAAATGTATGTATTATGCGAAATACGAACCTACAGGTATTAAACAATAAAACAGTGTGTTAATCCGCTATACCAACGAGATACCGAACGTACTCGTATAGTTCGTTCGGTTTCTCATTGTGTGATGGATTTATCTTCATTTGAGGATCAGACAATTGGTGTGTTAATGTAACATTGAATAACCGATTATTGTTATTAGTTCTCTGTATTTGGTAACTTTTATTAAGGTCTAGCTGTATCCCGTAGCTTTTCCCGCGTTAATTAGGATATAAAGTATTCTACATACATACATATCTGTTACGCTTGTCTTCCATTAGGGTAGGCAGAAACAATGGAACGCCAAATGCTTCGATTCAAACAAACCTCTTTCGTTACTTCCACATTCATCAATCTTTTCATATACGCTCGTCGGTTACGGGTACTTTTAATTTGGCCCTTCTTCAGCACGTCGCCTATTTGGTCGACATACGTCCGTCTAGGGCGGCCCCTACTGACATCTCCATTCATTCTTGCTCGATAAATCTCTTTCGTAATTCTTCTTTCATCCATCCTCTCCAAATGGTCAAACCAACGCAACATTCCTTTTTCGATTTTTGTCACTACATCGTCTTTTAGTCCACACTTCTCTCTAATCACACTATTTCTTACTCTCTCTAAGGGTAGATGTGCCTTATTCTAACTTAATACATAAGTATTCTACTTATGTATTAAGTTACAATAAGGCACATCTACCTTTGTACAAAATTTATTTTTTGTTGTGAGGATAGAAATTTGTATGTATGGTAAGTACATAATAATTATATTTTTTAGACCGATTTTAGATTATATTATCAGTTTTAAAAAAACTATTTTCTTTATAAATTTTATCCCCTAATTTACATTCGAAACTTGATCAAATCTTTAGTTAAGAAAGTAATTGAATAAATATTTTACCCTGATTTCATGATTATTGTTAGTAACACAGTTTTACAGAACACTGACTGTTGTGGTATATTAATAGGATAAAATGTTATTGGCGCAGGCATTATAAAGATTTTGCCTATTATACCCGTTACCTCTTTCCTGATGCCGGGGAAGATGGCGAGGAAGGCAAGATAAAGCGTGAGCGCGGCGAGCAGGAGCGCTAGCGCCGGCACGTCTGCTGCGACAGCTGTGCGGTTGTGGTAAGCGTATAGGGTCGGCCCGCCTTCCTCGCGGAACGCGTCGAACCACCCCTTCATCGCTCACCCAGCCTGGAAAGAAATTAATCATATTAATTTTTTTTGCTAATTTTGTTTACATAATTATTAAATTTGATATGATTTTTCAAAAAGTATAATTAATTTAACAATATTTGGTAGTTTAGTTACTACATGATATTAAAATCCTTGGATTAAGGAAAGTAATCAAAATTGATAGATCTCCTAATATATATACGAATAATAAATACCAAATGAATTAAAAAGTTTTTTAAGCCATTTCAAAGATATAATGCATTTTCTTTTATTTCCTAATAGTTTTTACCCACGACTTCGTCCATGTGACGCGTGACATATTGTTTATTCGGGACAAAAAAATAGCCTATGTTCTTCTCCATCTCAAATATTGATATATGCTAAATTTCATAAAATGATAGAGAGATAACAAACAATCAAACAAATACACTTTTAAATTAATAATATTAATAAAGATGTATAAAGTCTTTATAACTACTTATTTAATTATATTGGCCGTTTGAACTTTAGACATTTACCTTGATTCAATCGAGAATTAATGACAAAATTGACGGAAAATTTTGTCTATCTAGCATTTACATGATTCTGAGCATACAGGCTCGGCTAATTGACTAAACATGGCCATGAGCAGTTTATTTACTGACGTTACATGCTGGTGCTTTGTTTTACAAAAAGTGTATAGAAAATTAATGTATTAAATTCCACTTAATGAAAGCTTTATTTCATCGGAGTTAAAGTAACTTATTTTAAAAATTAATTAGGACATTATACTGCTTTCCATCATTATAATCAAGTTTCTGCTACAGTCATTGCCTTCAGGTATAATTACTAAGCACGCTGGTCAAATGATGGCCGTGAACCCAAGATATGTGCGAAAAAATATGACAGGTCTTTGCTCGATCAAATGAGTCGATACTCAAATAGACAAATCAGGTTTAGTCATAGTGTAGCTAACAACGGAAATATTACGTAACTATTTACTTATAATAACTCATTTTGTATTTAAATTAACTTAACGTTATATATTTAAATTAACCCTGTTCGCCGCACCGTAACTGTTAATTTTCTTGTTTTGACTTCCACGAGATAGGCTTTGCCTAGTATGGGGTCATAGCTATTATGTACCATAGGCTAATATTGTTTAAGGAAATAAAGTTATTCTTATCTTATAATAATATCAAAAGCAAATATGTATTATTGAATTAAGACAAGCGGATTTCTGATTTACACTAAGGCTTGTATTAAAAGATTGATCTCAAGTATACGAACAATATTATGTGCCCATAAAAGAAGCTTAAGAAGCTATAAGTTAAAAGTTAAATACTATACAGTAAATGATAAAGTTTAGAAATTTTATAAAAATATATATTACTTCAAAATATCGGGAAATTAGACATATATTACACGAGCAAATATATTACACGAGACCTTCTTTAATTATTTATAAATAGTTATTAATAATTAAACATAGTTTACACTTTATAATTAATTGAATTAAATTTGGAATAGATTCGTCAAACGAGAACGGTATTATTGTATTATTTATACAGATTTATGCTATATGCATAAATCTTAGAACACAATATCGTATAGTAACAATTATTCATTATTGTTGCATTTAGATTGCTTTTTTCGATTAACTATGTATCTCAATTCGCCTGTATGTTTTTATGTATTTTTTACGCAACTACCTCATCATTTATGCATTGATATTAAAAAAATTATTTTGCTCAAATATATTTATGTTAGTCCCATATAATTTTTATCACGATTGAAGTATATTTTTTGCCGTATATTTATTTTACAATCATTAATTTTAAAAATGTTTTACAAATGAATTCTATACAAAATGGGAAGAAAAATAGTTAAGTTAGTAGAAAACTAAGTATACAAGTGTTGTTAGATTGTCTTTGAAAGAATTAATATTGTATATAGTTGGTCGTACATGTAGTCTTGGATTCTTACTAGAGTTTTTGAGAGTTATATGTATCTAAAAAGAATTGGTAGATAAATAAAAGTGTGACGCTAAAAAAAGCAGTAATTATAGATAGAAATTATCGATGGTAGACCATGCTCAGACGACAAGCAGGCCGTGATACGAAGTATGTGCAAATTACACAGAATGCATCGTTAACTGTTCTAAAATGCTAATTATACCATCTCGTACTTGACACGGATTGCGATACTTACTGTAATAGATTTATGATGCCGTAATAATACTAAGTAATATTCGTTTAAGGACTTCAAGTTTTGCCTTAATAATTGACATTTAGTATAATAATGTTCAGTTTATGTTGGCATAAAAAGTCAACAAGCTCACGTGAAGAACATAAAATCTTGTAAAATTAATAGTAAACCAAAGTTTTTAAATTGTATCCGTCTTACTACAAAAAAGTTAAGCATGTGATAGACTGAAGCTAAGTATAAGTTTAGACGTCTTATACGACACTGCCTTTAACATCTCTTTATGTATAAATAAAAGAATGTCTGTGTTATTAAAATTAAGGAAGTATTTAGAGTAATATTTTAATACAATAGTTTGTATTAAAATTTTGGCATACAAAAAAATTTCATTACACCGATTTAACAATGTTTAATCATACACAGAATTTTGATGAACACTGTTTAGCTAGATAGATAAATATTTAAAATATTTTTGTGGTAAGATTTGCTTTTGGAAATGTTAATTTACACTAGATTGAAAATTTTTATTTTTATTATTTTATGATTCGACGAATTTTGAATCCGTTCAATTATATGCAATGCACATGGGCCTATGTGCATATATCGATTTAGATTAGAGTGGTTTTTTTTTAAGAATGATAATGGAATGGTAACCCTGCCTGCGCTATCGGTATACACTGGCGGGGCACCAGTGAGGGATGATAGGTGAAGATGAAGTAGGTCAGTTAGCCCATCATGACAAATTCACCAATGAATTGCCACGATGATTTCCAGGGGGAAGCACGAGGAGGTCGAACGGATAGGGTATATTGCTAGTAATAGGGTTGCTAATTCCCATTACTAACAATCCCTTTCCCCCCGATTCCACTACCCTGGATCCACCCTGGATTAGGTTATCGATTTAGGGCAGGGGCCTATAGTCATGATATACAATACATACGTAAAACACGACTTTGGATTATTTATACTATACGTGTAATTGTTGAGATTTGGATAATCATTATTGTATGGAAACCCAAAACACGTTTAGTTGGTGTTGCAAAAAGATCGCCAGTATCTCGTGATCTGGTGACGTGGCCGGAATGCAGTGCAGGCGTATTGTGATTGCGACATTTCGCAGCTGCCGCCGTCGCCTTCGGGAAACGGATGTAGAATTGCGCTTACGGTGCACTCCACTCGACTGGTAATTAAATTATTTAATGCTTGTGATGCTGAAGAGATTGTGCGCTTGCTCAACAGTGTTCATTCGCCGGAAAGATAAATATACATTGTCTAATTGGTATCGCACCTAGGTATCTAAGTACCTTGATTAGAGACCGCCCGGTCGTAAATTTTAATTTGTTTAAACTGGAAATTTTACGGTCTTTAAAATCATCAGATGGCTGTAAAAGACACTAATTTATGTTTATATTTACATATATATACTAAGTTAATGAACTAAATTATTTTATGGGCACTCATAAGGAGAAAAATGAAATCTCAAGTGAAGTAAATCCTAACAGAAATAATTTCCATTTACAAAATAAGGTAAAAAAATTAAGGGCCTTCTACTGAATATTGTCTGCCGATGTGTTAAATTTTAGTAAAATCCAAAAAATATTATTTAAAAAATAATTCTCAATTTTGCGATAATAATTTAAAAGATTAGGGAGTTAGGTGCTATTTATTATAGGTATTCCTATTTATAAATCTATTATTGATTTTGTTTTAATTACTAAGTATATTTTATATATTTGTATTTATATATTTTTACTTTTTTCACTTTGCACTTTTATTCAAAAACTCTTCATTAGTGTCACATTTGGTAATTATTGTAAATATATGAAACATACATAAATCTCAAGTAAACACGACTCAATGTTTTATCGGGTAAATAGTAACTGATTGATTGGTGTTTGTAATTTATTAAATGAAATGTATAATTATTGACCTTTAGTTATTAGTACGATTTGTTCTTGACATAAAAACGCGGATCGACATGTCGGAAGTGTATTGGTGCTCGTTGTAGGTACACGATGTATGCATGTGGGCAGCCGGAAGAATAATTCGCTCTAGGTATTTATTACCAGCAAGGCTGTAAGTAGTACTTATCTTTTATTCATGTACTTGTATACTAGAAAGCTAACCTTTTCTGAGGTTAACCAGTTGGCTATAAACTGTTTTTTATTCGTAATCCTACACATTATTACACATAGCTACCTCCAAGTCTTTATTCCTAGTTTATGAGGTAGGTGAGCTGAATTATAAATACACGAAATGTCATGTATATTATAAATATACGGCATAAGGCCATTATTAATTTATTAAATTATGTATTCAGTAAATCGAAACTTGTTTATTACATGTATTGTAGTTAGTGGATTATTTTAAGTGTAATAAATACAAATAAATCTTTACAATTTAATTTTAAAGAAATTGTAATGTATTTGCATATTACTAAAATAAGAGAATGTTTCTTTATTTGTAACATACAACAACATTGTTTAGACTGTGATATAACTATAAATTGTAATAAGCTATAAAAATTAACGTTCTGCGTGACTCAACGTTTCGTGTTTAAGGCTTTGTTTTTCTAATAAGTAATAATAATTGAGGAGTCTTTGTCACTATTATTTTTTTCTCTACAATCCTGCAATTATTTAAGAAATTTCGTTGTTTTTCTATTTATAGAAAATATAGCATGTAAATATACATAGATGGACAGAGATAATAGAGAGATAGACAGAACATAATTAAAATCAGTTCACTAATTTATAAAAACGTAAAACATAAATGGCAAGTCTGTATTTGACTATTTCGTTTTAATATTAATAGGTAGGTAGTAAATCAGAATT